CCAAAAGCCCTACTCATGCTCCTTCCATTGACCCAAGGGCAAACAATATCCTGACACCTAGCACCACATTAGTTTTGCCTGTTTTTGAACTTTATAGAAATAGTACATATAGCATGCATACTTTAAAAACTTCAAAGGAGAGAGAGAGATTCCCAAAAGGGATGAGTATGATCCATATCTGCAAGACGCACTCCCCCTTTTACCTTCTAGGAACACTATTTCGTCTCATTACTGTAAGTTGTTATCATTGTTACAATAATACCTTTCGAAAAAGTCTATTAGCTACAATTCTAAGAGCTTCAATTCTTTATCATTTTTACAAACTGGAAATATAATTTCTAGCAATATATTCATTTCAAAATTTTACAAGAAAAAACTGATTTTGAAATCTTACATAACTCATCCAATAAAATTTTACTTTCCTCCATTAATTATATTTCCCAAAGAGTTGTAACAACAATGATAAAAGAACAGAAACAGATTCAGTGAAAAAAGAGGAAAGGCACTTGAGTGCTAGGATTACAGGCATAAGCTACCACACCTGGCTGGAAAATAATATTTTTTCTGCTTTCCTCATAAAATTATTGTACACATAAATGAAAGTATGCTATAAAGCCATACTAAGATATAAGGAAGACACTAAATTTAGTTAGAATCAGTTGATTCCTTGGAGTTATTGCAAACTATATTATATACAGATCCAAAATGCTGACTGTCAGAAATTAAACCAAGCCCATCTCCCCTTTATTCCACTAACTCACTAAAAAATACCTGTCGGATGAGAAAAGCCTAAGACAGTTCCTGCCTGTTATTAAAAACAGAAAGAATGCTTTTATTTTCTACCTCCTGCCCTTCAACTTTCAAACAATTCTCTCCAAAACTCAGCTCTAACCACATCAAGAAGAAACAAAAATCATTTACTCGATTTCTGGGGAATTAGTCCATTTTCTTCCTAAAAAAAAAAATAAGATGAAAGACAAACCTCAGCCACAGTGCTACGAATACGATCCACCACCTGCTCAAAATCCACCAAGCTGAAGAGCGGCTGCTGCTTGAGACGATGCAGCTCTGCAGCAAAAGTGTCCTCCTGTTTCTTCAAAATGGACCCTGCAAAATAGGGAGACACTGACAAAGGAAGGCAGAACACCCAGGACAGCCATGGTTTTCTGGACAGGGCTAATGTCAGTGCGGCAGCAGCTTCGCCCGCTTCTCAGACAAAAGCAGGCAACCATGTCATGCTTGTGCTGCAATCTTAGTACATGAATATTACCAGGCACTCACCCAGACAGGGTGAGGTATGTGGCTTTGGGGCCACATACTAAGTAACAGCTTTTGAGGAGGTGCTACGTTGGGCAAGGAGATCTCTACCTTTTCTAGTTAGGTTCACATTTTGATTCTCAAACATCTGGACAGATTCTCCAACAAATAGGATTTTTTCCGCAACCCTCACTGGAATGTAGGATGGCAAAATCTCCACCCGTAGGGAAAACTGCTTTAGAGATGGTGCCAGCATGTTCTCTTCCTCAATCAGGCGCTAGTCAAGGAAATAATTTGTATCAGAGATGAAGTATGAAGTAAGAAAAGGAAAATAAGAAAGCATCTAGCTCCTCTCCCAACCCATGATTTATATTTTCTAGAAGCAGGGACTTTAAGTCTGAAGTTGCACAATACTGAAATCACCAGGCCCAGAGAAAAGTATTTCATTTTCAGGCAGCAGAGTAGCATTGTGGAAATAACAGTGGCTTTTAAACTTTGGGATTTTAGTCCTCACTCTGCCTTTACTACTATGTGAAAACTTGTGCAGACGATCACCTTCCTTACTTGCATAGTGAAAGGGGTGGTCTTTATATTTTTCAGGTCTTTTTTTTTTTTTTGAGACAGAGTCTTGCTCTGTCACCTAGGCTAGAGTGCTGTGGCATCAGCCTAGCTCACAGCAACCTCAAACTCTGGGCTCAAGCAATCCTCCTCCCTCAGACTCCTGAGTAGCTGGGATTACAGGCACACGCCACCACATCTGGCTAATTTTTTCTATTTTTAGTAGAGACAGTGTCTTGCTCTTGCTCAGGCTGGTATCAAACTCCTGACCTCAAGCCATCCTCCCACCTCAGCCTCCTAGAGTGCTAGGATTACAGGCATGAGTCACCACACCCAGCCTTCAGGTCTTGTATGTATGTCTGCTCTACTGGCGTTCCTCAAGGCATTATCCCAGACTCTCTTTTCCTCTTGCTCTACACACTCTTCTTACACAATCACATCTTCTTCAATGGCTTCATTGATCATCATAACAGCTTGTTTTAATCCTTTTAGGTCACAGGCCTCTCTGCAATTATAAAATCTGTGGACCTTCCAGACAAATGTACAGACATACAACATTTCACAGAACCTCCTGGAGCCACCCATGGACCCCAGATGAAAAACCTCTGAGCTATATGCTGATGATTCCATATTTAGATTTATAGCAAGCTAGACTGCTCTCATGAGCCCCGGGCTCAGCCCACTTACCATTTCCCGCAAGTTCCTCAAACTCGACATGCCCCAAATTAGACCCATTTTCTTTCCCCAATACCAGCAATACACATTCCCTATCATCACTACTCGCCTAGCTGCTGCAGGCAGAAACTTGCGTATGGTCCTTGATTCTTCCCTCTTGACTCATATCCAACTAATCACTAAGGCCTATTGATTCCAGCTCCTAAACATATCTAAAACCTTTTCACTCTTTTTCATATTCACTGTTACCAGCCTTGGCTTAGGGCACTATTATTTTCATCTAAGTATTCCTGAAACTCTTTTAACCCGTCTTCCTGCCTCTAATTCTGATTTTTAAAAAAAGGATTCCCTGCATAGCATCCAGAGCAATCTATCATAAAGTCTGATCGTGCTGCCTTCTTGTCTAAAATTCTTCAATGGCACCCTCTTTTCAGGTTCAAGGCCAAATTCATTCCCACTGTTCACAAGCACCTTCATGATCTTGCCTCTGCTTAACTCAACAGCTTCATGGAGTGCCACTTCCCTTCCCCACCATTTCTCACTTGTTGCTCATTATACTTCAGCCTTTACTTGACCATTTCAGTTGAATTACTAATGGTTCCCCAAAACGAACCATGTCCTTCATGGCCTCTGTACCTTTACATACACCATTCCTTCTGCCTGGACATTTCTTGACCTCCCAGACTCTGTGCAATACAGACATGCATTCCACTGAAAAGTCTACTCTAGTTACTCCAAGACCCTACCCCAAGACCATGTTCCAAGAACACCCGTACTTACTCTTTCCATAGCACTTAGCAAACTGTAATGTAACTGTTTCCTTTTCTATGTCTTCCATTAAACTATAAGCTCCTTAAGGACAGGGACTACTACATTTTTTATGTCTATGTAGTTGTGGCACCTAGAACAATACCTGGCACATACCAGGCATTCACTGAAATGTTGTAACAGGGTAAATGAATGGATGGATGGACGAATATGGACAGTATAGGACTTTGAAGAGTCTAATCAAAACTTGAAATTGCATTTAAAAGCTATAGGGTAACTAGCTACCACTTATAGAGCCAAGACTTATTATTAACCTCTTAGATGCATATATTGGGATAAGGGGAAACAAAAGGAATCTTAGAAACATATTTTCTTTTCTTTTTTTTGAAGAGTACATGGCTTTTTTTCTTTTGTTTTTTAACAAACATATTTACTATTTTGTAGTCTCACATTAGATTAAGATAAAGCCAAATATTTATATCTAAGGAATTTATGGAATGTGTCCAGGCTATGAGCTGAGAAGGGGTCACCTACAGATCATTTAGCTATAGACTTTCCTGACTCCTGGTAGGAGTATGCTAGGGTTCTTGCTGCAATCTCACCAAGTCCTGGAGTTCTCTCAGTTGTTTTCCTGTCAGTCCCCCAATGCCCAGATCCTCCTCATCCTCTTCTGGCTGGGCACTGACATTACCAGAAGATGGACCCTGTTTGATAAAGAACTCTTCATGCTGGTCCAAAAGGAGTCCATGCAGCATCCAGGCTGAGAGCTGTTTATACATGACTCCATGACAAACGGCCAGGATTCTGAGCAGAGAGAAAAGCAAGAAGCTTAGAAGTCCACCTAGACAATACTAAACCCCACAAATGCCACAGCAGTCATGCTTTAAACTGCTGCAGGATAAATAGAAGACTGAGAGTTTGATGAGTCATAAGGGAAATAACCAATCAAGTTAAAAATAATTGTGCTATTTTAATTTAAATGTTTGTGGATTGACTAACTCATTGAATTTTCATACTTGCAGCCTACATCCTGAAGTCTGAAATGTTCAGTGAAATGTTCTGATATTCTTTTAGAAGAAGCACATTTTCTTTCCTTTTACATAATTTTCAAAACTGATGAGTCCTAAATATGTACAACTGTTATACAGCAATAAAAAAAACAAAAATTTAAAAAAATGGACTTAATGTAGTTTCTTTTTGGCTAACGCAGTATTAAATTTGTTTTGTTTTTTTTGTTTTGTTATCCATAAGGAGAGATTTAATATGTGAGTGCCAGGTATAGGTATGATCCAATAAAATAGGATATTCAGATGGTCTCAAAGGATCACCCACCAGATAGCATATTAATTACAAAGGAGAAAAGGTAATTCTACAATGGAGATCTGATGAAAACACCTAAACCAAGTGATCAAACTTCACAACAGCAATAAAGGGATAAACTGACTTTGTGTGCCTTCTGATATGACAAAAAATGGGAAATAATATCACCTATGTAGTATCCTTACCAAAAATGTTTAACCTGAATCTAATCATGGAGAAATAATTAGATAAATCCAGATTGTGGAACATTGTTCAGGACAACTGGTCAGGACTCTTAAAATGTCAATATCTTCAAAGACAGCACCAAGAGCAACAACAAAAGGCAAGGAGACTGTTCCAAATTAGAGGAGACTAAAAAGACATGATAACCAAATACAGGATGTGAACATTGACTGGATCAGTCTTTTGGGGAATGACTGAAAAATTTGGATATATTCTGGATATTGTATTGAATTATTGTTAACCTTCTCGGGTGTAAGATGGTATTGATAACGCCTTTTTCCTAAAGGGATACAAGGTGAAGTATTTAGGGGTTAAATGTTATGATATCCGTGACTACTTTCAAATGATTCAGCAAAAAAACTGGGGTACGTATATTTCACATATGCATACAAAAGGAGAAAGAAAAAAGATAAATGTGGCAAAATGTTAACAATTGGTGAAACTAAAGGATATACAGTGTTTTTTTTTTTTTTGAGACAGAGTCTCACTGTGTTGCCCGGGCTAGAGTGCCGTGGCGTCATCCTAGCTTACAGCAACCTCAGACTCCTGGGCTCAAGTGATCCTTCTGCCTCAGCCTCCCGAGTAGCTGGGACTACAGGCATGTGCCACCATGCCTGGCTAATTTTTTCTATATATTTTTAGTTGTTCAATTTATTTCTTTCTAATTTTAGTAGAGACGGGGTCTTGCTCTTGTTCAGGCTGGTTTCGAACTCCTGAGCTCTAACAATCCACCCGCCTCGGCCTCCCAGAGAGCTAGGATTACAGGTGTAAGCCACCACGCCCGGCCTATACAAGTGTTTTATCATACTATTCTTTCAACTCTTTTGTAGGTTTAAAATTTTTCAAAATAAAAAGCTGGAAAGAAAAGAAACTTGAGCCTGCTTTATTTGTAGTATGTAAGAGCTTGAGCCTGCTATGTGTAGTATGCTAACTGAATGGAATCTCTTTAAAAAAAATCAAATGGGAAGCCATTTTCACTTATGCATATCTCAGTATGTAGTCTGTAAAATTTGGTATAATATGACATTAATATATATATTTCTTTCTCACATTATCTACATAAGATTTTATATTCTGTGCATAAAAGTATAATAGAGAATTAAGTCCCTAAAACATGTTATGGAAAGTTTCCTGCTCTTCTGACGGTTTACTTGTGCAGTGGTAATAGTGCAGATTAAGAGCTGTGAATGGCCACAGAGATCATCTATTACAATTTTGCAATTAATGCCACATTTCTCTTTTTCAAAGATCAGGAGGAAGGAGGAAATAGAAAGATTAAACAGGCAGTCTTTGATCATACTCCATATAGATTTTTAATATTGTTCTAATCATAAGACAAATACGATTTTGTATCATTTTCAGTATTATATATTTTTACATGTTATGGAATTTATAATTTTAGTGGCTTTATAGTCTATCAAGTGAATATGTATTTATTTAGCTTTTCTTCTATTGTCGGTAATTTTCTAATTTCCTGATACAGTAGACAACATTTCAAAGAATATATTTGTACAGTTATTTTCTTCTCTTAAATAATTTTGTTAGAATAAAATTCCTAAGAGTGGCATAATGGGATTATAAAGTATAAACATTTTCAAGGATCTTTGATGTGAAAATACCAGCTACTCAAATGCACATGTTTAGACACAGCAAGCAATATGTGGCATATGTAATGGAAATCTTGGGATAATGGGATCCAAAAATTAAAAAGGATGGCCTCAAGGTCATCCAGGCAGCTAAATTCTGGCTTTGATATTCAACACTTTACTACTCTCTTTGCAATGCCTGAGCCATCATAAGGATTATATGGGCTCCTCTGTTCACGTGGCTTTTTCTATCCTGGTCATAACTTTCCCCAGAGGGAAACCTGAGATAACCCAAAAATAAATTGTGAGAAGTCAAGTAAACCTACCTCCACCACCAATTCCCGATCAAGCCATGACTTACTTTTCCAGTGCACTTCGAACAGGAGGCAAACCGCCACAGCTGTGTTTGTAGACTGTTTCCAGGATTTGACAACCATGAATCTGTGGAAAATACAGCCTTGTCAAACTGGACTCCATTTTAATAGTTTATGCAACACAAACTAATATTCTATATTCAACCAAGAGGGCAGAATCCAGCAGAGAATGGGGATAAACTTTCTCATAAAACTTATCCATGTCGTTCTCAAAGATGGATCCCTCCCCTCAGCAACATCAGCATTGCCCCAGAACTCGTTAGAAATGTAAATTCTTCGGTAGGGCCCAGCAGTTTGTGTTTTAACAAGCCTTCCAGGTGATTCTAATGCACTGTGAAGTGTGAGAACCACTGCACTAAAGAAACCAGAATCACTTAGAGTTGGAACTCCAAAGCCAAGGAAAGCTCTTCATTTCAGGTTAAGGCCTAATTCAGACTACATGCAAGGTATGTTCTTTTCCAATTATCCACTGGCTCTATGTGCTTCAGGTTCTTTTTTTTTTTTTTTTTTTAAACGACTTTGAAGTATAATTTACACACTATAAAATTCACCCTTTTTAAGCGTACTATTCAACAATGTTTAGTAAATTTATAGCATTGTGCAACCATCACAACAATCCAGTTTTACAACACTTCCATCACTCCAAAAACACCCGCTGTGCCTGTGTGCAATCAATCCCCATTCTTATTCCAGACCCGGACTCTTGACATCTCATTTGTTAACTCTGCAGAGCCTTGCCACACTAGCTTCTCTACCACCGTCCTGGAGGGAAGAAAGATTCCCCTATCTGCAATCCCTCTTATTAATTTTCCACTGTCCTTCTGGTAGCCAGTGGAAGCTGAAGGTCAACCGAGATGTGCAGCTAGCGCTGGCTCTCTTATGCTGCCACCACTAACTCCACTTACCTAGAAGGTTCCCTCTCCTTTGGGGAGATAGTTTAATGCAGCGGTTAAGAACGTGGTCTCTGGGGCCAGACACACCTGGGTTTATATCTCAGCTCCACCACTTACTACCGCCTGTGTGACCCTGCGCACACTCCGTAACCTACTTAACCCTTTAGAGGATTGAATGTGATAATATAGGTAAAGCCCTGACCACAGTGCCTAGTACAGAGCAAGTGCACAATAAAAGCTGGATGCTGTGATCTGATGAGGACAATCAGCTCCGAAGGGACAAAGAACACCTCCCTAAGTCTTTGCTGGCACAGCATGGGTGTAGCAGAGCACTTAAGTTTCTACACTTACACAGCAAAAAATGAAGTAGCATGTGGCAAATTAACTGGTTAACTAGTTATATTAATCAAAGCAAACACCCCTAATAAGCTCAGGCACAAATATAAGAGCTTAAAAACGTGGAGACTTGAGATAAACATGTTTAATCCATTTGTCCATTTGGTCCAATTATGGACCAATTCAACAGACAGCAGATTCTTCTAATGTGAAATCTCAAAGCATTTATTTCTCAGAGTTATTACCTCTTCCCAGAAAAGACATTCTTCTGACATTGGGGACCCTAACTTTTCAATGCAACTGATAAAAACTTGTGACAAAATTTGGCATGTTTAACAAAATACACACATGGCTTTCACTCACTGATCTCATAATTCTCAGAAAACTGCTAGCACCCTAACCACGAACATGATTCCTTTTTTCTTTCTAAGAATTAACTTTCTGTTTCTCCTCGAGATCCATACCCAATAGTTCTAAACCCTTAGTGCAGACTGCTCTCACTCCCAAACATCCATAGCAATTTTCTCTTACCCCAGCAACATTCTTAGGTACATCTATTAACATTTCCTCTGCTTTCTGGACCAGGAGCTGCTTAAGAAAAGGGTCATTATCTTATTTTTGCCTTCCTGACACTTAGCCATGATACTCAAGCAGATATTGCTGAATGAATGAATAAATGAATGGATAAGTAAAACTACTAAAAAGTAAGGTCTTCAAAAAAGAATGTAAGGTTAAATTAATTATTAATATTTCCTCAGTGCTTAGCAGAGCAAAAGAAAAAAGGAAAGTTCTTGCCTTTTGACTTTTAATTTGTTCTACTACAACCATCACAGAGGGAAAAAGGAGCTGGAACTGTAAAGTAGAAAATAATTAGTAAGGTATATAATCAAATACAAAGAAAAAAAATTGATTTAGCAAAAGCTTTCATTTCTAAATAGTTCAACTTAAGGCAAAATGGCAATACCACAGAAAAATCAAAATCCAGTATCCCACCTAAGGCAATGTGACGTGGGGGTTGGATGCAGATAGGAAGAGGATGGCGGAGAGAAGCAGTTTCTATTTCTGAGGCTTGTATAACTATTAATATTGATGTCAACATAGAGCATTAACATCAGACATTAACATTTATCGGGCGTTGGGCAGATGGAGGGGGGAGGAGGGGATGGGTACATACAAACATAATGAGTGCGATGCACACCATCTGGGGGATGGACACACTTGAAGCTCAGACTAGGGGTGGGGGGCAAGGACAATGTAACCTAAACATTTGTACCCCTGTAATATGCAGAAATAAAAACAAACAAACAAACAAAAAAACCAATGCAGAAATATTTAAATAAAGCACTAAATAACTTTCAAAAAAAAAAATCAGACATTAAGTTTCAGCTAACTTTGGAACTTTTCAAATAGTTTTCATCTAGTAAATCATACAAATTGCCCAGAATAGAAAATGTTGGGCTCTGAATCCAGAAGGAAAAAAGTCTTGAAAATAGTGTCACAAATTAGATTATTCTAACAATATCAACAGATTCCAAAGCATTTGGTTATTTGGGCAGCATACCTGATCTAAGGAGTAATTGACATGTGATATGGAGAGATGAGGGTCAGCCAGGAACTGCAATAAAAAACATATGATTAGGGCTCCACACCAAATATCTCAAATCTATTTGATCTATAAAAACTAGAGGAGAATCTGAGAATGGGCTTAGTGTTAGTTTTAGGCTACAGAGAATTGATAATTTATAGAAGATTATTAATTCTGATTTTCAGGTGAAACAAGCCAAAACCAGCGCTTTTATAAGCTCACTAAGGAACCTGTGCCATGATCTATAAGCCACTTTGACCACGGGTTGGGCAATCACAGAGAGAACACTGAATCCTCCAGCCACACAGGAAACGGCTCACTCTTAACTACCTGACCTTATGAAAGGGCCTTTCAGATTCAAGAACATGTCCCAATCTGCCATTCCAGAGGTATTTCCTATATCTCTTTTTTCTCACCTCTTGTTCTAAATCAAGCAGTGCTTGGCGATAGGGCTGCAAAACCGAATCCAACCCTGTGCAGAAGGCCCTCAGGTAGATTCCATATAACCCACCTTGGCCCTGCTGAGATGGATGGTGATCCTGAAATCAAACAAAGAGAAGTCAACTTCTCAGCTAAGGCCCTGAAACCTGAGGAAGACATTATCCTTTGTTAGTGGAATTGGTTTTGCTTAAATAATTCCATATCAAAGCAGTACTTCAGTGAGAAGAAAACCGAACTGAAGATGAAGATTCTGAGCTCTCATCTTTTAAAATGCGATAATATTTTAATTTTCCAAGGAGGCCCAGATATTACAAACAAGCAGGTACTCTCAGTGGAGATTTTTCCGCGTCTTAATTTTGATCTTATCACTCCGAGTTTAAAACCTTTTGGTGGCTTCTCACTGCCCTAGATTAATATCCAAACTCCTATATATGGCATACAATGACTTCTGCATTCTGACCCTTACTCATTTCTCCAAAAGTATCTTTCACTGTTTCCAACTTCACATCCTCATTTCCAAACTACCCACAGTCCACCAGATGTGCCTTGCTTCTGCTGTCTCTCACCCCTGTGAATTTGGACTTGTGTTCTGCTTGTAACTGTGCACCTTTGTAACAAACACCTCCTCTTCCTGCGGGACCCAGCTCAAGCACCTCTTATCCACAAAGCCTTTTTCTAACTCTCCCTAGGGGATTAATACCTCCACCTTTAATAATATCTTTATTTAGTGCTTGAATTGTACTTTTTAAATGTGTATCCTTCACTAGTCAAGAGCTTCATGAAGGCAAGGACCATACTTTATTAATCCTTGTATCTTAGTTCCTAGCACAGTTCTTTAAACGGAGGGTAAATATTTACTGAATAAGACCTGAATCTTCCTTCTAACATCCCTCTCCTGCCTGGGTTGGCAATTCCTCAAAACATGACTCTGACAGTCAACATGGGAAGTTGTAAGAATCTCATCAAGAGGTTATACATGAATATGGCTTGCCTTTAAGAAACTTGCAAGTTTTTTGTAGGAGCTTCTTAAGTGATTTTGTATGGGGCATTGCAGTTAACAGCTGATTGAAGACTATGATAACTAGCCTCTCTGGCTATGTACTAATTTGGGTGATCATGCTCTGCTGGTGGTAGATAAGATAGCAGAATTCAGCAATAGACGTGGTAGGAAGCTTGGGCTCAGGTGTTATAAATTATAGCACAGCACAGCCAGACGACGCTGCAGTGTGCTAGTAGTTCCTGAACAAATGTTCACAGGTATGATAAGAACAGTATGGACAAAAGTTGAAACAGACCAGAGTGGCTTACAGCCAGCCAATTTTGTTTTGATCTTGTGTCATTCCAGAGAACTGAATGTTTTTGTTTATCACAAAATCAGAGAAAATGAGTATTTTTTTTTACTTTTCCCCAAAAAGAGGTACAACAGGTACCTTTATCATTTGGGAAAGTAGGAATTCACATATCATGTAAGACAAAATCCACATAGTCACATGAATATAGGACAGATTTGTTTAAGTATTACATACGAAAACAATTAGAGACCTTGTATTCACATGAATATTTCCAGTGATGAGAAATCCATAACTTATTTCACATGAATCACCAATGTAGTCACTGAAAGCTTGACACAGCTCCTGCTCTCTAGAGGTGTACATTTCCCCAAGAACAGGATCCCACCTGTTGCTGCACATGGCCCGTGTACTGTTCAATGAACTCCGTGAAGCGAATATAGTCTGTGCCGAGTCGGCAGAGTCGATTCAGGACGCTGGTTTCACTGGGGTGGAGAAATGGGAAGTCCTGCGACACCTGCAGGAAGAGGAACAATGCCACAAACACTGATGCCTGCTTGTCACTCTCTATGTTCTTTGGGACACTTCAAATATTTCAAACTATGTATTTATCTTTTCCCTTCTCAAGATGTCCACTTAAGTTGGTAAGTTCTGGGTAACAAAGGTATTTCCAAACCACTGTGAAGCTGTTCCCCATCCCCTAATTATTTGCTTTTTAAAACTGGTAACACATGGTAAAGAATTCAAACAATACAAAATGGTGTACATTAAAAATAAGTCTACCTCCCTAGAGGCAGCCACTCTTACTTGTTTCTTATGCAATCTTCCACGGATGGTCTACAAGGATATGGGGTTTTGACCTGGTTGCAACAAAGTCTCTTTAGCAATAGTGCTCAGACTGGGGTCTGTGGACTCCAAGGGTTTCTCAGACATATTCTTAGGATTTACAAACCGTCTGTGAAATTTTATATTTTTTTCATTAGAATAAGAATCTAAAATTAATGTAAACGTAGTGTAATCCGTAAAAGCACCTGGCCATATAAAATTAGTGTTACTTGTATTTGTATTTTTAATTTAAATGAAGGACAAATGACAGCCTAATATGCTATATAAAAGTTTCACAGCAGTTCAAGTAGAAAAAAGTAGTTGGATAATGTATTCATTCAATCAACTTTTTAAAATATTGTGGTAAAATATATATAACATCAACCATTTTAACTATTTTTAAGTATACAGTTCACTGGCATTAAGTACATTCACACTATTGTGCAACCATCACCACTATCCATCCCTGGAATTTTCCCCCCGCCAACTGAAACTCTGTACCAACTAAACACTAACTCCCCATTCCCCCAGCCCCCGCCAAACACCATTCTACTTTCTCTCTATGAATTTGACTGTTCTAGCTACCTTATCTAAGTGGAATCATTCAATATTTATCCTTTAGTGACTGGCTTATTTCACTTAGCATAATGTTCTCAAGGTTCATCCGTATTATAGCATGTGTCAGAGTTCCTTCCTTTTTAAGGCTGAATATTAGATTGTATATATTCAATACACACATTTTGTTTATTCATTCTTCCTTCAACGGACACTTGAGGTGCTTCCACCTTTTGGCTATTGTGAATAATGCTCTGTAAACATGGGTGTAAAAATGTCTGTTGAGGCTGGGCATGGTGGCTCACACCTGTAATCCCAGCACTTTGAGAGGCCAAGGTGGGAGGATCAGTGGAGGCCAGGAGTTTGAGACCAGCCTGGGCTACATAGTGAGACCCCATCTCTACAAAAAATACAAAATTTAGCCAGGCATGGTGGCGAACACCTGTAGTCCCAGCACTTTAAGAGGCCAAGCTGGGAGGATCACTGGAGGCCAGGAGTTTGAGACCAGCCTGGGCTACCTAGTGAGACCGCATCTCTACAAAAAATACAGAATTTAGCCAGGCATGGTGGCAAACATCTGTAGTCCCAGTTATTCAGGAGGCTAAGGTGGGAGGAGCTCGAGGTTACAGTTAACTATGCTCACGCCACTGTACTCCAGCTTGGGTGACACAGCAAGACCCTGTCTCCAAAAAAAAAAAGCCTGAAAGTCCCTCCTTTTACCTCTTTTGGATATATACCCAGAAGTGGAACTGCTAGATCATATGGTAATTCTATGTTTAATTTTTTGAGAAACGTCCATACCATTTTCCACAGTGGCTGCATCATTTTACAGTTTCACCAGCAATATATAAGGTTACTAATTTCTCTACAATCTCGCCAATACTTATTTTCTGTTTTTTTTTTAATAACAGTCATCCAAATGGATGTGAAAGTGGTGTCTCATTGTGGTTTTGATTTATATTTCTCTAATGATTAGTGATATTGTACATCTTTTCATGGGCTTATTGACCATTTGTATATCTTTTTTGGAGACTCAATCAACTTTTTTTTTTTTTTTTTTGAGACGGAGTCTCACTGTGTTGCCCGGGCTAGAGTGCTGTGGCGTCATCCTAGCTCACAGCAACCTCAAACTCCTGGGCTCAAGTGATCCTACTGCCTCAGCCTCCCAAGTAGCTGGGACTACAGGCATGCGCCACCATGCCCGGCTAATTTTTTCTGTATATTTTTAGTTGTCCGATTAATTTCTTTCTATTTTTAGTAGAGACGGGGTCTTGCTCTTGCTCAGGCTGGTTTCGAACTCCTGAGCTCAAACAATCCGCCCGCCTCGGCCTCCCAGAGAGCTAGGATTACGGGCGTGAGCCACCACGCCCGGCCTCAATCAACTTTTAATGAACATCTACTCTTTACCAGGCACTTGTGCTAACATTCTGAGATTAAAGAGTGAACAAAATCAGACACAGTTACTACTCCAAAGGAACTTAGCATATTATATATTCATATGAGTATTGTATTTTGTGGAGATAATCTTTTTATGACAATAAATGTGGTAATAAATAGGCAAAGAAGATTTTTCTCTGTTACTGAGTACATGATAATATGATTAGGAATCCATTTAATGTAGATTTTAATGATACAATGCTAATCATATCTTCAAGTTAATAACTTAACAAGTAACATGACATAGTACTTAACAACCTGGTCTTTGGAGCCAGACTCCCTGGGTTGGAATCCCTGAGTTGCCTTTTACTTGTCTGAAAGCTTAGGCAAGTTACTATACCTCTGTGCCTCAGGTTTCATACCTATAAAGTGGAGATAATAATTGTGAAGATTAAATAAACATGTAAAGCAAATGTGCCAAGCTCATAGCAAGTACTCAATATATATAAGCAATTTTTTGTTATTAACAAGACATCTCTACCCAGTTATCAAGTGATACCCCTGTGAAAATTGTCATTTCTTGTTGGTAGAGTTTTAGAAAAGTTCAAGATCTGATTATTCTGAAATGGCAAACAATACCTTGAAGTTACCGATACCATTTTGTATAATATATGTTGTACATACTTATATGAACAGGCTGAGAAACCCTGCATTAGAGTAATATTAATTTGAATTTATTGATTTGGTAGTTTTTTTATATTTAATTTATAAAAATATTTGGTTTTACATTTGTTTAAGAGCAATATGCTTGAGTTTATACCTAGCTTATTATGCATATATTCAATATAATAATTTTCATCAACATTGGGCATTCATGACAATTTTTCCCTTTATTCAAATGTGAAAAACACTGCTCTGCAGAAAATATGCAATATTTGTTGTTTTTGTCTTTTTTCCATAAATATCTAAACACCTGCTATGTGGCAGAAACTGTGCTAGGTGTTGCAGGTACATGAAAGAAGATCAATGCTGTCTTCGTCTCCCATGGGCAATCTATGTAGGAGAAAGACTATAAACAGGTAACAACAATAATTACGAGTTGTGATAAGTCGTATAAGGGAAATAAACAAGTTTCTGTGATCAGAGAATTTAAAATGTGGTCAGAGAAAGTTTTTCTGAGCAGTGACTTTAAGGCTGACACTTTAAGTATGAAAAGGAAGAAAATACCTGATTGAGATGATTGAGACTTTTTTATAAGAAAGGAAGGAAAGGAAAAGATGAATTACTTGTGGCTCTCTCCCCCGGCTCCCACCTCAGCTATTTTTCTGATACTGTGTTATCTCTTCTTATTCCAGATAGTCAAGCACCCACATACTTCCTGAACATTTCTTCCTATATGCTTGGCACTGTGCTAAGTTCTACAATGGAAAAGTGAAATACCAACTCAGTCTTCAAAGATCTACACAATGAAAAGTGACAATTTAGACTCCACCATACAAATCTCACCTCATTTATTTTTTTAAAAAAACTCACCTAAACTCCCAAACCCCAAATACACATTCATAAATAAGAAGAAGAATCTGTTCGATTGATAGGTTTTATAGAGTAAGAATGTACTTTTTCTGCTCTTCTACAGTCTATATTGCCAATTCTCCTAGGAATATGCATGACTTTGTGATCAGGCAGACCTATCTCGCCATTACCAAGATTAGCCAGCACAAAGCTCTCTGAGCTTCGGTTTGCTCATTTGTAAACTGCTAACAATACCTACGTGGCCAAGTTATTGAGAGCATTAGATAACATTACTGGAAGCAGAAGCAGATAAGAATAGTTCAGGTACTGAAGCCAGACAGACCTGGGTTCACAACGAAGCTCTGCTAATTACTAGCTATGTCTCCTGGTAATTATTTACCATTCTAAATCTGGGTTAATACGTAAAATGGATATAAGTTATGACGATTAAATGAGATAATGCATATACACAATATATAACGCTTCCTCCTCATACATTTCCTGGTTACATGAAAGCCCCCTACCAAGTTCTTCACCTAGGGCAGAAATGTCCTGAGAAAGGAGTAATGAGGGAAACACTACATGCTCTCGAATTCATTTTCTCATTCAACAAAAGTTTCTGAGCGCGTACTGGGTGTTTGGGTTCTGTGTATTTGGACCAGCCTTTAAAACTCACTCTGAAACAGAATACAAGCGAGAAAATAAATAGGAGAAAGTGCCTCCCTCACTTTTATATCGTTCCCCAGCAACTCTCGCTCAGACACCTCGCCCTTAGGCCCTGTCCTCGCTCCCCCACAAAGGCGGGGCCACCGGAGGCCAGCCCTCTGTTCCCCAGCCTGGGCCCAGCCCACTCCAGGTGTTTACATCGCCCTGAGGCCCCTGGGGCTCTGCCCTAAGTAGCCTGCGCAGGGGCACGCCCCCAGCCCTGCAAGCCCCGCCCCTCAGACTCCTCCCCCAGGCACAGGCTCTGCCCCACGCCTAACGCGCTCCCTCGTTCCCGTGCTCTGAGCCGGACAGTACCTGGAGGCCACTCCGTTTGTTCCAGGTGAAAATGGACCCTGGGTACCCGCTCAGAGCCAAGAGCAGTTCGTGGATCATTCCCACGGCGGACCTCGAGTCCCTAGCTGCGTCACCTCCTCCAGCGTCCCTCCAAGCAAACGCGGGGGCGAATGCTGCCCCTGCGACAAGCGCACAGGGTCCTGGGTCGGACGGTTTGTCTTGAATCAACCCACCGAGACAAATGATGCGGGAAGAGCGGACGGGAAGCGGGGAAGTGGTCGCGAGCCCCGGAAGCGCGCCCAGCTAGGCCACTCGCTTGCTCCCGCCTCAGCTCTGCGGAGATGAGTCGCGGGAGTTGCCCTCGCGCATGCGCCCTCGATGCCCCGAGTCGCCCACTCGGACTTCCGGTTTGGGAGCCGGACTGGGAGGCTGGGGCCGGACCCAAGTGGGTGAGGCTGGCCCGGGGACAGGGATGCGAGTGGGTTGAGGACAGCTCGCGAGGGAGACGGTTCCAGGGGTGGGCTGGAGGGTGCCCTCAGGGCGCCTTAGCCTGGTCAGAGGCCTCTGGAGGGACCGGACGACGGCTCCGAGAGTAACCCGGCCGGAGGGAGCGGAGACAAAGAGGCCGGAACCCTGCACCCGCCGCACCTAGAGCTGAGCCCTGCGCCCGCGACCCCGCAGCGCTCGGAGCCCTCGTCTAGCACCCGAGCTCGTCCTCAGGAAACCCATTCCTACTACTGCCCACTCGGACTACCTCTCTCCAACTCAGTGTGACTCTCCCCAAGCCCACCCGTTCCTCGCTTCAGGAGGCAAAATCAACTTCTCTCCGTGCGCGAGGTTTCCCGTTAGTAGCTCCCGAACCCTTGCTGAGCGGTTACTTCTGTGAGGGCAAAACAAAGACCCTTGAGGACTTGATTTTTGTCTGGGGTGGGAATTGGTAGTTGTGGCGTCTGAGGGGGCGGGGCGGACGCAGAGGGCCTTGGGAAGGACTGCGGAGGTACAGGGGGGAGATCAGCTGCCATCCGCTGGATAGAGGCTTTTTTGCCTTCAGCAGGATAGTGACTTTCCTTTAGATCCTCTTGAGCTCCAGGTTTCCCATATGGTTCGAACTCATTGTGCAACATTGATCAGGGAAATTAAATGGGATCAGACTTGAGGGGGGGGTGGGAGAGGAGCAGACAGTACTTTATATCCCCTGCTGCTTCCTGGGGGCCGCTCTGGAAAATCACCCAGAAATGCAGCTTTTGAAAGCTCTCTCTTCATACTCACTGTTGGCTTGCTGCCCTGAAGATGGTGCTACCTCATATGGCCACTTGGAGCATATGGGAAGTCAGGCCAGCTCTGGCAAGACTTTAGACATATGAATATATTCCTTCTGATAGTGCCATCTCTCTCTACCCTAGGAAGAAACTCCTCTTATAGAGGAGAGACACTCATCTGCAGGTGATTCTCCAAGGACATGGGAAGATAGGTGTAAGCCCTGGAACCCAGACCCTTAAGTGGAGGGAAGCTGCTTTCTGCTGTGAATGATGGCCAAACCCACCCTGAGAGGGAATGGCACTAACTCTGAGACCTTCAGACAGCGCTTCAGGAGATTCCATTACCAGGAGGTGGCTGGGCCCCGGGAGGCTTTCAGCCAACTCTGGGAACTTTGCTGTCGGTGGCTAAGGCCGGAGGTGCGCACCAAGGAGCAGATTGTAGAATTGTTGGTGCTAGAGCAGTTCCTGACCATCTTACCTGGGGAGATCCAGAATTGGGTACAGGAGCAATGTCCAGAAAGTGGAGAGGAGGCAGTGACTCTGGTGGAAGATTTAGAAAGAGAGCCTGGAAGACCTGGATATTCGGTGAGAAGGGAGGGGGAATTCAGAAGTGTGAGACTGGGAAGGGGCAAGGATAGAGGGTCAAATTAAGGTATAGACAGGCTTAAAGAGGGGCATAGTCTCCCTTGCTGATACTTATACTTCTGGTCTGGACCAGGTAACTTTTTCAGATAGTGCTTGTCTGGAGATGCTACCTGGGTGTACCTTTGCCTACCTTGTCATGAGTTTTTCCTAGTTTCCCAGTTTCTTACATAATAGGGAAGAAAGGGCAATTTTTTTTTTCCCAGCCTGTAGTTGGGTTTACTCTTTTGATCTTTTCCTTCTGGAGTTCCAGCTGTTCTAAGGTAATGGTAATGGAATAAAACCCTTGTTGGCTTTAACCTCCCCCACCCCTAACCATGGCTTTAACCTCCCCCACAACCCTAACCATGTCCCAGAAGGATGATCTCTTTTGGGGTATTAAACAATCTCCTCTGGGAATGCCCCTCATTATGACCTTGCAGTGACAATTAATGGGGGTTGTTTCTAGGTCACAGTCTCTGTGAAGGGGCAGGAAGTGCGCTCGGAGAAGATGACACCCCTGAAATCATCACGAGAGTTATTAAGTGTTCGGCAGGAGTCAGTGGAACCCCAGCCCAGGGGTGTACCCAAGAAAGAGAGGGCAAGAAGCCCAGACCTGGGACCACAGGAGCAGATGACCCCAAAGGAGAAGCTCAGACCTTTTCAAAGGAGCGGTGAGGAGTAGATTCATATGGGAAGATAGAGTGCCCACTAAGTTGGGAAGTAGGGTTGGGAATAGTGAATGGGAAAGGGATTTCAGGAATAAGTGGAAACTGTAGAGTATATGGTTGCTGGGGACCTCCTGAAAACATGTAGGTTAGCCCTCGGGTACAGTAAGTATTCTTATGTTACCTCTTTTGACAAGTCTGGCTAGAGAATGACTCCCGAGTTTTTATCCTTTTATCCCTGTTTTACTACTTGGTAATGATGATAGTAGGTCCCTGTTTTCTAGATAAAAATTGTTTTCTATACTTGAAGGCACATCTTCGTTTTAGTTGTTTTCCTTCTCTGAATTAAACTATATTTGTTTCTTTACCCTTTCCCCAGAAGATCCATTCTTTAGACCTAAGTTTTCGTTACTTTGGAACCTTTAAGTTCTTCAAGTATTATGTTAATTGTACAGAACTAAATTATGTATTATTCTAGTCAAAGTCTGTTAGATAGAGGTAAGAATTTTACTTCAGAATTTTGCAATATCTTCTTTCAGTATAGCCCAACTTTTGATTATATGATTTTTAGTCATCTGGTAACTCCCAGGAGTCTCATAGCTTTCCCCATTGCCTTTGTACCTAGTTGTTGCTTATACTTGTGCTTGATTTTGTAGAACTTGTTTTTCTTCTGTTGAACTCTGTGTTGTATGGTTTTTTCTTTGCTCATTTCATTTAAAACTTGTTGAGGTTGTTTTGAATTCTGATCTTATCCGAGACAACAGCCTTCTCAGCAGGTTTGGTAATGGTCTCTGTTTAACCATCCAGATGAAATCCCTCAACCTCACACACAGACTTGCAGGATTGATCAGTTTTTGAACACCTACCATGTGTTCAACACTTGCAGGGCACTCTGCAACAAGAAAAGGTTTTTATCTTCAAAGAGCTTATAATATGCTTGAGTACACAACAGCAGACTATAAATATACACTGAACTGAACTGTATTGAAACAATGCCAAAGATGACTTGGTTCAATTGTGTGAGTACTATAGAGATTTGGCAGAGTGGGAGATGAAGGTCGGCTGATGGAAGGCTTCTTGGGGGCACTGGCAAATACAGCTTCTTGAAAAATGGGTTGAATTTGGATAGGACGAAGGGAGTTAAAGGAAAGGCACACAGTGATGAACAGACATGTGCTGTGTTTTAGAGAAAAGAGTCTGACAGAAATGGGTAGTGCATGGTAGGCACTAAGCTTAAGGTTCAGCAGGAAAGCATGTGAGCTGAGGAAGCAAGAGCCTGCGGTTAGAGCACAGTGATTGCTGCAGTTATCCAGGTGTGTGAGGATAAGGAGTCTGGACTTAGATGGTGGCAGTAGGAATGGAGAGGAAGGACATACTAAGGGGAGCACCTTTAGAACTTGGTGTGAGGGAAACAGATGAGTTGAAGACGATCTCCTCTTCCCCCCTCCTTGAAATCACTCTGAGTTTAATTCTCTAGCCCCAGGTACAGAACAACAGGAGACAGGTGATGACTTCCCAGTTAGGACCTGCCTGCCTACAAGTGGTCATGAGGGCTAGGGAGCTACTTGGAATAGAATTATCTGCTCTGAACACAGAACAGAACTTTTTCCTCTCTTGTCACCCTGCTCTGGAAAATAAAGTATTTCTCATCTTTTGAGGTTTCCTGTATTTTCCCCACTTTGTTCAACCCACTGAACTTTCTGAAACCACTTCCCTAGACACTTTCTTTATAATCCTCTTGGATAAAAAAGGCAGGACTGAATTCAGAGTTTTTTTAATGATCAGTCCAAACTATGATACCTTTTTGTTTGCTTCCCTGCAAGCAGGATTTCCATTTCCTAAATCCGGTGTGGTCTCCAGATTGGAGCAAGGAGAGCCATGGATCCCAGATCTGCTGGGCTCCAAGGAGAAAAAACTCCCGAGAGGCAGCCACACAGGAGATAAACGAGTGCATGCTGATCTGTTACCATCCAAAAGAGAGAGAAGAAGCTGGGTAGAACAAGATCACTGGGGCTTTGAGGATGAGAAAGTGGCAGGTGTGCACTGGGGCTATGAAGAGACCAGAACTCTCCTCGCAATTCTCAGCCAGACTGAGTTTTATGAGGCTCTCCGAAACTGTCATCGAAACAGCCAAGTGTATGGGGCTGTGGCTGAGCGGCTCCGGGAGTATGGCTTCCTCCGGACCCTGGAACAGTGTCGGACCAAGTTCAAAGGTCTCCAGAAGAGCTATCGGAAAATCAAGAGTGGCCACCCACCTGAGACCTGTCCCTTCTTTGAAGAGATGGAAGCCCTGATGAGTGCCCAGGTCATTGCCCTGCCCAGTAATGGCCTGGAAGAGGCAGCCTGTCACTCTGGACTGGTGGGCAGTGATGCTGAGACTGAGGAGCCAGAGCAGGGGGGCTGGCAGCATGAGGAGGGAGCAGAAGAGGCTGTGGCCGAGGAGTCTGACAGTGATGAAGTGGATCTGGAGGGGCCCCCGCAGGACCCTGACAACTCATCTGCACCTGTCCTGTTTAGAAGCCCAAGTGGTAAGAAATTTTTCTTCTTGTGGTTTTGGGATTAGACTTGGGGAACAGTGAGACTGGATGTGTAGTCAGGAAGCTCAATGTCACCTGCCAGGGTCACAAGAAGCATTTCTTAATTCTATGTATATTTCATTCTCTTGTGGGAAAATCAGTGAGATAATAGGGAATAAATTTAGACTTTTGAAAGAAATACCTTCAGAAAATTCAGAGTCTTGAAAAGGAATATCATTCTTTCCATTTCTTTATTAAAATATTTTTTTCCTGATTATAAAATCATTGCAGGCTCACTGAGAAAAATGTGGCACTATATTGTCTTTAAGGGGAACTAGTGTTTATTGAGCACCTCATTTGAACTTGGTGCTTTAAATATTTTATCTTTTATTCTCCCAAATCTCAAAGTCAGTTTATTATGTGTTCATTTTTACTTAGAATAGTACAGTGAAGAATTGCCCAAAGTTGGGGAAACATTTTGTAAGTCTTCTCTCTGATATTCACAATATGTGCTGGCATTTTAACAGGAGCAAGAAGTCCTAATCAACAAGCAACAAAGCTTGTTTAACACTCTATGTTGAAATGTTTTTGCCTATGGAATCCTTTTAAAAGGATTATCAACCTATTATTGTTGATATAATTTGTACAACTATGCTGTTATGGGAAGAGCACCGAAGTATGATTCAGGAGGCTTAGATTCTAATCCTGGTGATCACTAATCAGCTGGGTGACCTTGGGCAGTTATCTAACCATTGTAAGTTTCCATTTCCTCAACTGTAAAGTTGGGCATGGCAGCAGTACTACATCTCTCAAGTTGCTGTTCCTTTGTGAACAGTGATCTTTCCCTTCAATTTTTTATTTATATATGTGGTTAGTTCTGTTCTAGCCTTGTCTTCTGCTTTTTCTTTTCTCTTTTTTCTTCATTCTTTTTCTTTTATTAATCACTGACATAAATATATGTAGGTTAATCACAAACACGGCACATATGCTAAATGCTATTTCATTATCTTTGTCCTTTTCATCATTTTTGTTGCTTTTTCTTGTCTTCTATTGGGTCATTAAAAATGAAATGTCCAATTTCGAATCAAAAGTTTAGTTTATTATATCTCAAGCAAGAACCAGTAAAATTAATCAAAGTATGTGTCTGTACTATTGACACAGTTTTGTCATCTTAACGGCAGCTTGTTTATGCCAGCAGGGAAGCCTGGAGAGCGAGTAGGAATGAAATCCAAAAGGTGTTTTCCACAGCTTGTTGAGAATTGAATATTTTTCCCTACAAGAAGTGGTCCAAAGTGTGGAAGAAGTGGTAGTCAGTGGTGCAAGGTCTGATGAATATGGTGGATGACAGAGTTTCCAAGTCTAGCCTCTAGTTTGAGCAGCATTGTTTGTACGACATGTGGTCGAGCATTGTCTTGTAAGAGGATTGGCCTGTTGACCAGTCTCAGTTGCATAATCGCAAACATCCTCATCATTTCATCCAGTTGGTTGCAGTAGACATCTGCTGAAATTGTTTGACCAGGTTTCATGAAGCTGTAATGGATAATAGCAGCACTGGCCCACCAAACAGACACCATTAGCTTTTTTTTGATAAATATTCGGTTTTGGACTGTGTTTCGGCACTTCATCTTATCCAACCATTGTGCTGAATGCTTGCAATTGTCAAAAAGAATCCATTTTTTATCACATGTAACAATATGGTGTAGAAATGGTTCACCTTTATGTCATGACAGTAAAGAAAGGCAAGCTTCAAGACAAGGTTTCTTTTCTGATGTTTAATTCATGCAGAACCTGTTTATCCAGCTTCTTTACCTTGCTGATTTGTTTCAAATGGTCCAATATTGTTGGAATAGTAATGTCAAACCTTGCTGCTAATTCATGCATAGGTTGAGATGGATTTGCTTCCACTACAACTTTCAGCTCATCATTATCCCCCTTGGTCTCAGGTCACCCATGTGGCTCATTTCCAAGAATAAAATCACCAGAACGCAACTTCTCAAACCATAGACGTAATGTGTGTCCATTAGCCGCATCCTTCCCAAACACTTCATTGATATTTTGAGCTGTCTGCACTGCATTGGTTCCACAACAGAACTCATATTCAAAAATAACATGAATTTTTGGCTTATCCATGGTTTCACAAAAATTGCTCTAAAAGAAAATGTGAAAGATGATCACAAGCCCAACTATGCATTTGAAAGACTGAGGATGTACCTTCACAATAAAAATAAAACAAGAAGTGTCAAAATGGAATGTCAGATATCAGCTGTCAAACTTAGTACTTAAGGAAGTCGGACATTTCATACTTAATAACCTAATACTTTCTTTCTTGTTCTTCTTTACTCGCAGAGAGTGGATGATAATGGAAGAAATCTAACCTCTGCTGGCTCTCAGGTGGTAGGAAGTCTCTCTGAAACTGCCTTCCCTCTACCTTGAGCACCTTCAGGGAGCAGAGACTATAATCACCTTGACGTTGCTTTCCTGAAAGTGCTGCCCAGGTGGGGGACCTGCAGCGCTAGCATGTGTTCAGGCCTGAAGATACTGTCTGCTCTTGCTTCTTTCTTCATTCCAGCTTCTGCCAGAGATGCATGCTTATAAGGTCCTTATCTTGTGCCCTTCAGGTCTTTGCTATTGCTGGGCTGGCTTATTTGAGATGGCAAGTGAAGAAAGGCCATAATAGGGATTAGGCAGCAGTGTGTTTCTGAAAGAGGCAGTTCCTTGGAGTTTTAAGTTATTCTTTGGGGAACTGAATTCATAAGGAAGTAGGGCTGGTGGAAAAAGAATGATCAGAGAAATTAGGGATGACTTGTGGCTGACAGTGATTTATTGGGGTCTTCTTCCTCTGACCAGTGATTCTTCTAGTTAGGATCAGAATTCCAGGAAAAACTACTAAAAGGTTGGGAAAATGCATTCTATACACTTGCCTCAGTATACATAATGACTGTTTCAGTGATTAGGTGGAAAGCCTTTCTTTTTATATGGCTAAACAATTTATGAATAAAGCTCTTTGTGAAATTGCTAAAGGATATAGAGAAGCAAAACATTCTATAATGAGTTTGTTTAGATTTTGGAAACCTGAAGTATTTTTACTTTTTCACCTAGGAACCCAAGCTTAGGTGATTTTTTGTGATGCAGATGATAGGACTGAGAAATTGAAGTTACAAAGCTCTGGATTGGGTGGTGCTGAAATTTCTCTTCTGGTGGCAGGTGTACACTGGGGCTATGAAGAGACCAAGACTTACCTTGCAATTCTTAGTGAGACTCAGTTTTACGAAGCCCTCCGAAACTGTCACCGCAACAGCCAGCTGTATGGAGCAGTGGCTGAGAGGTTATGGGAATATGGCTTCCTTAGGACCCCGGAGCAGTGTCGGACCAAGTTTAAAAGCCTACAAACCAGCTACCGGAAAGTCAAGAATGGCCAAGCACCAGAGACCTGTCCCTTCTTTGAAGAGATGGATGCTTTGGTGAGTGCTCGGGTTGCTGCCCCACCCAATGATGGCCAGGAAGAGACAGCTTCTTGCCCCATCCAGGGGACCAGTGAGGCTGAAGCTGAGAAGCAAGCTGAGGAGGCAGAAGAGGCCATAGAGGAAGATTCTGATGATGATGATGAAGAGGATACTGAGATACCCCCAGAGGCTGACATAACTCGGGCTCCAGTCTTATTCCAGAGCCCCAGTGGTAAGATTCTTTCACTTCTTAAGGTATAAATAGCAAAGGGAGGGCAGTAGGATTTAGAAGAAAAGTCATCAGATTGAGGATGGCCTCTAGACCCAGCTTTCATGGATTCTTCTTATGACCACCCATGTTTCTTGTCTATTCAAGCAGCTCAGTGAGGGGATACAAATTATTTATGTGACTTTGCTCCTCACACTATAGCACCAATCTGAGATAGTTGCAGACTTTGTAAATTTGCTGTCATCTGTGTGTGAGCTGCTAGGTTTCCAGCCAGTTTACCTAACAGGGAATCTGAAAACTAACATTTTCAAGTAGCATATTGTACCCATAGTAGGATGAAGGTGATTTTAAAAGTTCATACTCATTTATATGTTTTTCTTCTGTCTCCTTTATTCACATACGTGAACAATTGATAACCCTTTTCTTCAGACACACTTTTGCAAAAGTCTGAGGTTTCTGAGGGAACTGACCCTTTGTATCTTAGCTGCTCTGTAAGAAAAAAACACTTTAGAATGGCTTCCTTCCTTGTGGGAAGAAGAGTTCTGATTTTGGAATCATACATGTACATGTATGTGAATCTGGGATCTGTTGTTTATTAGCTGAATGACTTGGAGCAAGTTACTTAACCCCCAAGTTTGCTTATCTATGTAGACCTCCCTCATAGGGTCGATGTGAATGGAGTACTGTGGTACAGCACCTAGCTCAGTGCCTAGGTGTGTAGTCGGTATTCGGTAAATACTAGTTTTCATTTCCCTAAGTCCTTCAGATGAGCATTCTGTAAGTGTGTTCCATGGGATATCAATATATTCTACTAAAAATGGCTATTAGGTTTGGGAAATACTCATCTTGGAGGCTTATAATACATAATGACATATTTAAGGTTCTGAGTTTTCATTTAATCTAGTGAATCTTTATTTCATGCAACGTCTCATAAGGCTTTTGGGTGGAAATACTTCTTTAGGGGGTACATAGGCTGACACTCAGCATTCTTTTGCTCTTAGATTTAGTCCAGGGAATTTGGGATCCAGAATTTACCTGAAATATCTGAATAAGTACCAATTCTCATAGTCTAGGCCCAAAGAAGCCTGGCATTTGTTCCTAGTGAAAGACACTAAGTATTTTTCTGCTCTGGTTTTTTTTTTTTTTTTTTTTTTTACAGAGTCTCACTCTATTGCCCTGTGTAGAGTATAGTGGTGTCATTATAGTTCACTGCAACCTCAAATTCTTAGGCTCAAGCCATCCTTCTGCCTCAGCCTCCCAAGTAGCTGGGACTACAGGCATGTGCCAGGACACCCAGCTAATTTTAAAATAGATGGGGTCTTGCTTTTGCTCAGGCTGGTCTCGAACTCCTGAGCTCAAGCAATCCTCCCATCTCAGTCTCCCAGAGTGCTAGGATTATAGGCGTGAGCCACTGCACCTGGCCTTCTACCCTGTTTTTATTTCCAACATATAAAGGGATGTGAGGGGAAGGGGACTCACGAAGCTCTTTCTGGATATAAAAGTTCCCCCAAAGGTTTTCCTTAACATTCCCTTCTAATCCGTGTAGTTACCAGCAAAGAACATTAACAATAATACCATGATAGGCCTGAAATATGGCAAAAATATAGCAATAGAAAGTGTCTTTCCTATATAAACATGGTGATAGTGTTTTCTAAAACCTGGTGAGTTTTCCTTGCTGTACTGAGAGGATTTTCTGAAGATCATGTATATCCAAGAAGGATTAAAAGAATATATTGATCAGCCCCTGTGTAGATGAGAAACATGTAATACTAAGTAGAGAAGTAAAACACTGGAATTTTAATAAAGGTAGTTATTTGGGATCTATCTAGAGCTCCCTAACTTCTATCTTAAATTACCTAATGTAATACTTGTTTTTCTCGAGTTTACTTTGTCCTGGCACATATAACTAAGGAAATAGATAACAATTTAAATTCTGTTCTTCTATCAGGTTTTGAGGCTGGATTTGAGAATGAAGAGAATACAAAACGGGATATTTCTGAGGAAGTACAGCTGCACAGGACACTACTTGCAAGGTCTGAAAGGAAAATTCCCCGTCATCTTAATCAAAGTAAAGGCAGTGAGAGTGAATGTAGACCAGGAAGACAATGGGAAAAGATCCCAGGGGAGAAAAGAGTAAAACTGACACTCCCAGAGAAGAGTTTGGGTAAAGTCGTAAGTCATCAGAGACCTTGCTTGGGAGAGAGACCCTGTAAATATCTCAGATATGACAAAAACTTCAGCCCAAACTCCCTTCTCATGCATCAGCTACCCCACCAGCTAGAAAATCCATATAAATGTGCCGACTGTGGGAAAAGCTTCAGTCGGAGTGCACGCCTTATTAGACACCAGAGAATCCACACTGGAGAGAAGCCTTATAAGTGTCTTGACTGTGGGAAGAGTTTCCGTGACAGTTCAAATTTTATCACCCATAGGAGAATCCACACAGGAGAGAAACCTTATCAATGTGGTGAGTGTGGGAAACGCTTCAATCAGAGCTCAAGCCTGATAATTCACCAGAGAACCCACACAGGAGAAAAGCCCTATCAATGTGAAGAGTGTGGAAAAAGCTTCAATAACAGTTCTCATTTTAGTGCACATCGGAGGATACATACAGGAGAGAGACCCCATGTGTGTCCTGACTGTGGAAAGAGTTTCAGTAAGAGCTCTGACTTACGTGCACATCATAGAACTCACACAGGAGAGAAACCCTATGGGTGTCATGATTGTGGCAAGTGCTTCAGTAAAAGCTCTGCCCTTAATAAGCACCGAGAAATCCATGCACGAGAAAAGCTTCTGTCATAGTCAGCACCTAAGTAAGCCCCTGAGGGTATATAAAGAGCCTCAATAAATGTATTGTTTGGAAAGTCTTCCAATAGTGAGATCCATCTCCTGTTCTGTGCCCAGCTAGCTTAGGATACTCTTCAGGATTTATGCCACTGTTTGTTCCTTATGTTTTTCCTGGATCTAGAGTCAAATCCCCAAGGCAGTTGTCTTAAGAATGAAAGTAAAATTTCCATCCCTCTCCGTGCCTGCATCTGAATTGATAACATCTTTTCCCTCTCAGTGCCTATGGTGTTCCCTCAATAAAGCAGAGAGGACATGGTAGTAGATCCTATGAATTTGATATGCATCCTTCTTTACTCATCCTGTCATCCAGCTGCATTTTGACTGGAAAAACCCATCACAGCAGCATTTCTGGGAGAAGTTGTGAGACTGCTCATTAAGTGGGTCTAGCTCTTCTTCATACAATAATGGAAATGCTACAAAGAATGACTCTTCCTACTCAATCCTGTGCTCAGAATGACATATTTGTCAGGCATATTCTTCATTTACCTTAAAGGAGAGTTTAATGTCCATCTTGGCTCTGCCCCATCAATCATCTTTTTCAGAACTAGGTATTCTATATGGCGAAATAATGTAAACCTTGTATAAATACTGAGGTGTAAACCCTGGATTTCTTAAGTTTCTTCTAAGTCCTAGAGGAAGGATTCGAATAGAATAATACTACATTTACAGGATCTAGTTTGATTTTTCTTTTTGTCCAATCTCATCTGAATTTCATCTGTCCCGTGTGGTCCAGAAGCCAAAGAACAAACCATCTGGATGTGGTGATAGGGAATGCAGTTAAAGCTGCCAACAGGGAATTGTCCATATTCCACAATCCAAACACTTAGTATGGTGTTATGCCCCCCATAGGTGCTCAGTACTAACCTACAATAAGCTGAAGCCACTGCTGCATTCCCTGTATTGGAAAAACAGGCCACTCTGTGCCAACAACCCTTTACCCAAATGGCAGGGAAGATGGATTATCTGTGGTCAGTGGAGCTACCAATCTATACATGTATGTATACACACACCCACCCACACACATTCAGTCTGTATACAATTAAAAGCAGCTCTTCAAACAAGTGTAATTACTGGTCTTATAACCAAATAGCATTGAATTAATTGCCCATATGTTCATAGTAGTATGATGAACCCTGTACAGCACAAGTTAAATAGACCCTGTCCTTGCCCTTACGGTCTAAAACATGATAATGACGTGGACAAATAAGTACACGTGTATAGTTGCAACAGTTTTAGGGAAATCTAGAAAGCTGGGTAGTAACATTATCCATAAATGTTATGATCCAGTGCATTAGAGTCTGGTATAAGAAAAATCTGGGAGGTATTTTCTTCTCTTTATTCAGGAAGGCTTCATGAAGCAGGAAGTATTAAAAGGGGGGGAAGTTACGGGGTAAATTAGGGTAGGATGAACTTTCCAAAACTAGTTGCAAAATTAAGTGTTGGGTAGGTCACAGAAAATGGGGGAGCAAGCTGTTTTGTGTAAATGGAGCAAAGAGCAAAGGACAGACTGTAAGGATGGTTAGATAAAGCTTGGAGCAACACAAAACTTGACGATGGTATCATGAGCTTTGCAGTAGGCAGAGAATCAATTTAGCTGAAACATGGAGTGCCAGAGGCAGACCGCAAGGGGGGACACCCATCGTTGAGAGTAAATAAGGTACTGTGCATACTTACTGCTAAGGAAACAGCTGGCACTGGGGGGCAATGAGCAGTTTTAGGGGACTAGCTCCTATGGGAGACGAAGGTCAGAAGCAGTAGTATCTATTAAACATATTTTGGTGGGCAGGTCAGAGTAAAGATGAACATGGCCAGATGTCCAAGACATGGGATAAGAAGCTGTTTCACATCGATATTTAATTAGAATCCTGTGGCTGGAATGAGATCTGAGAGAGAAGGAGAGAGACAGAATATTCGATAATTCATAGTTTACTGTTGTTAGATTAATTAGGGTTCTGGTGTTGAGGGATCCTAACACAAAAAAATCTAACATTAGGAATTATGGGAAAATGGTATCTCAATTATGTTGCCTAAGCAGACAGGAAGGTACAAGAAACACCAGTCTAAAAGCAAAGTCTCAGGATCTGAGATGGTGTAGGAAGTGTGCTGTAATGTCAAATAAGAGATTATTGTCTTTAGTATATCTCTATATAGTCTGCGGGAAAAGCATGGGTTCTGGTATCAACCGATATGAGTTGTGGCTCCAGATGTCTTGTGTGGACATCAACCTGCCTCTGTTTCCCTTTCTGTAAAGTAGAGTAATGTTTACATCTAATCTGCCTCTCAGGGATACCATGTTAATAAAAATTATGTCTATAAAGTGCCTGGTGTTTCTTCAGGTGTTCTTGTATATATATGCAAATTATGATCATGGTGGTGGTAGGAAAAGATAAATCTTTACCTGCTTGCTTTGGCTCCCTGTGTGAGGTTAGACGTATGCCTGTCTAAATCTTTATGTTCTAGGCAGAGGAACAAATTAGGATGTAGTGAAAGAAATTAGAATAAAAGTCCTTCCTTGGTATCTGTATCCATATCCACAATCCATTAGGGCCCGTGATAACTGGGCACGGAGAGCGAGTCTTATTCTAAAAGACCCGAGACTAACTCCCAAACCTCCAGATGAAAAGAATATGCAAAAGGAGTAGCAAACTCTCTTACCAGGTGAAGACCCCAGTTCACTCAAACTAGTTCACAAACCATTATGCTGCCCAACCTGCCATTCCTGAGGATGGAAGAAGAAATAATAGTCTTAAAACATTCTAAGAAAGAGAAACCAAGCCCACTGTTGGGCGAGCAAGAGGATCTATGTACCCCTAACCTAATAAAGTAATCAATAAAGCCTCTGTGGACGAGGGGGCGGGATGTGCAGCAAAGGGAGCAAAAAATACATGTATTAGCAGAAGGCAGACAGTCGAATCTATTGTGAGTTGTTTCCTTAATGCTGTTACTTCTTTTTCTTTATTTTTGCCATACTATCATTCTTCTTTTTACTGTCTGTTCTCTACTGCCAATGCCATAGAACTTAACATTTATGTGTGTTCTCTGCGTTGCCATTTCCCATGTATTGTAATCTGAGTGTAGAGGCTGAGTCTTATCAACTTTGTGCCAGGTGTCGTGGCTTATGCCTATAATCCCAGCACTTTGGGAGGCCGAGGCAGGCAGATGAGGCCAGGAGTTCAGGACCAGCCTAAGAAACATAGTGAGACTATGTCTCTACAAAAAATAGAAAAAAAAATTAGCCAGGTGTGGTGGCATGCACCTGTAGTCCCAACTACTCATGAGGCTGAGGCAAGAAGATCGCTTGAGCCCAGGAGTTTGAGGTTGAAGTGAGCTATAATGGATGCCACTGCACTCTAGCTTGGGCAACAGGGTGAGACCCTGTCTCAAAAAAAACCTTTGTATAGCTATTTTGTATCGCTGTTTTTATGGTGACCAGGTAAAAGGGGAGATGAGGTACGAATGTAAAGATGGATCAGTTCTCTCCCTGTTATTCAATTCAAAATCTAAAATGAAGACTTTACTCCTATACACTCAAATAGCTATCTAAGCCTGGATGTAGTTTTTCATAAATGCTCTTTATTAGCAATCCACATACTTTAAATTCTGGAACCTCGGGCCGGGCGCGGTAGCTCACGCCTGTAATCCTAGCCCTCTGGGATGCCGAGGCGGGCGGATTGTTTGAGCTCAGGAGTTCGAAACCAGCCTGAGCAAGAGCGAGACCCCGTCTCTACTAAAAATAGAAAGAAATTAATCAGACAACTAGAACTGTTAAAAAAAATTAGCTGGGCATGGTGGCGCATGCCTGTAGTCCCAGCTACTCGGGAGGCTGAGGCAGAAGGATCGCTTGAGCCCAGGAGTTTGAGGTTGCTGTGAGCTAGGCTGATGCCACGACACTCACTCTAGCCCGGGCAACATAGTGAGACTCTGTCTCAAAAAAAAAAAAATTCTGGAACCTCAAACAGGATAACTTACACCCTTCACACTTTCTTGCCCCCACTTAAGACTAGTATGACTTTTATACTGTAAAAAGAACTTCATAATAAAGCTTATACATTAAAATCACTCACCTTACCAGCTTTGGCATATATATTAAAAAATGGACCATATAATTATTTGTAACCATATTTTTTCATGAATATTTTCATGATTTTCATTTCATTTTCATGAAATTAAATTTTGTTCTACAAAATTTTTAGTGGCTGCAATATATTCACATTTTATAGATAAACCAGAATGCTTTTACTATGAGTGGGTGAGTGGGTGGAGGTAGAACATAATATAATGCTATGCAAGGTTACAAACCTAAGAGTTCCCTCTACCCTGATTCCTAAAAGAAAGTCTAAGTGGAAAAAACTTAAAACTGTTTTTTCTCTGCTCTCACAGAAAACTCCTGTGACCAAATGTGTGGGGGTTTTCCCCACACACCAAGCAAGCAATCAGTTTTGCAGCACATACCAGCTGTGTGTGCTCCAATTCAATTCTGACACCACTCTTTGGAGATAGCATTAGATCCCACAGGTAAAGGGCTCAGTCCCACAGGATGGCTCCCCACTTCCAATGCCTTCCATAAGCTCCAAGTGGTTTTACTTGTGCTTTTGACCAATGGCCTATAAATCAGAGTTTCTCCATCCCCTTCTTGGGTTTGATTAATTTGCCAGTGCAGCTCACAGAACTCAGGGAAACACTTAGATTTACTAGTTTATTATAAAGGACAGTACAAAGGATACAGATGAAGAGAGGCATAGGGCAAGGTATGGGGGCAGGCGAAACGTCCATGCCCTCTTTGGGTACACCACCCTCCAAGAACCCCCGACATGTTCCGCTACCTAGAAGCACTCCAAAATATGTCCTTTTGGGTTTTACGGGGGCTTCATTATGTGGGCATGATTGATTAAACTACTGGTGATCAACTTAACCTTCAGTCCCTCTCCCTTCCTGGAGATCACCAATCATGCCTTGGTCTTTCTGGTGACCAGCCCCCAACTACCTAGAGGCTGCCAGTCATCAGTCAATTATTGGCATACAAAAAGACATCACTTTGGAGATTCTAACAATTTTAGGAGTTCTATGCCAGGAAAGAGGGTCGAAGACCAAATATACATTTTAAAATATCACAAAAACACAGATAGAAAAACCCTTAGTAATTTAAATTAGGGGTGTCATCAGCCTTAACTTCCTCTAATACCAGGGGAAAATATACATTTTAAGCAATTCAAGTATACCCTAGTATCTAATAAATTCTTTTTCTTACTGTTCAGAACTGATCGTAGTTAGTCCCTTGTCCTCAGCTGAGTGGCCATGGTACATGTGGGAGTTTATGTAAGCCTGCGCCAGTGGTCCATCACATAGGGGTGGGGTTACAAGAGACCCAAAGACCCTATTTACCACGATGTTGTCACTACTAGTGGGATCTTTTGGAATGAGGAGAAAGTACTGGGGTAGGAATACTGGCAGCTTCCACAAAGAAAAAGTAATAGAAGCTGTTTTAAAAATGAAAGCTGCAGCAGTTTCTCTCTCTCTCACCCCTTGTCCAGCTATTCTGTCACTCCTTTTATTCCTAAATTGGAGCAATAACTTCAATCCCTTTCAAATATTGATGGGACACTCATGAGAAGGGCAAAGCCAGATCTCAGCAGCTAGCTTTATCTGGCACTAGGGTCACCCAAAGTAGATTAACCCTGACTACTGGGCACTCACACAAATCCATGGTGTGCATTGTGGCCTGCTGTCAACAGTCTTGGGGAATACTTTTAAAAAGTTAGAGCAAGTGAAGGGAATCTGACTAAGCACAAAAAAATATAAAGCTGTTGTCATGAGCTAGAAAGCTTAAAGGTCTTGGCAGCAATCTGTTCTCCCCTCTTTCTTTACCTTAGACTAGTAATTTCAAAGCTTCTCCGGATGAGAAATTACTTTAATTTCCCTGACGTTTTATTATCACTAATGGGGAGGGACTGCTAATTTAATGGGGAGTTTAGTTAGCAACGACACTCAAGTTCCTTCAGTAAGCAGCATGGAGGTAAGCTATGTTAAGACCTCAGCCTGCTAGTCAGTTTAAGATATTTTTACTAAACACTCGCCATGTGAAAGGTGCTGGTGATGTAGCCCATGGTACTTGATTGTTATGCTTCCAAGGGAGCAGTGGACAGATTACTAAGTGGGATATGGCAGGAAGATCTTGGCTGTAACACATAGTCAAAAGTAGTTAACCTCATTACTTAAAATGTAACACTTTGGGCTTCAGATGATTCCACTTCTTCCTCAGTTCAGATTTGGTACTGTCAGAAGCAAAGATGTAGTTGATGGATTCATAAGACAGATCCCATACCTGAGACTGGGTCAAATTAAATGTTTCAGCTGCCAGCTGGTACTCTTGAGAGAGGAGTGTTGCAAAGACACCCTTATCATCAGTCTGCCAATGTAAATAAGAATGTTTCAAAATGAAAAAGGAAATAATTTTTCAAAAACCAATTAACTTTTTTGGTTAGAGTCTATTTTCCGATTTATCCTGCTTGTTTCGAGAGTCTGAATAGGGGCCTATAAATGCATCTATGCATATCTGTAAATAAACAGACTTGTTTATACTTAAAAAAAAAATACCAGAGCAGTGTTTTAACGTGGCTGCATATTAAAATCACCTAAGGAGCTTTTAAAGCATGTCCATGTCAAGGACTCACCCCACATCAAATAAAGCAGAATCTCATGGGATGATATTTTTTTTCTTTTAAGTCCCCTCAGGTACTGTCCAGGACCTTTTCCCATAGAGCCAAACCAGTCACCCTCACCCCCTGCAGCCTCTCATGCCCCTATCCCTTCTAGCTCCTCTACTTGGGCATCACCCTCAGGTATGCAAGGCAGTCAGCTTGGTGGTGAATGTCTGACTTAATGTAACTCAGGAGCTAAAAGGGAGCAAAATGTTTCACACAAAACACCTTACACAGATCACAGAAGGATGGGCAATGCTGTACCAGAAACCAAAATGATGCTGGTCGTAAGACGGAACTGTCTGACTTTTGATGTTTGAGGTCAAACAGAGTTCTAGATGAAAAGGGAAAAAAGTCTCTCATTAAAAGCAGATAAATGAACTCATTCAGTGTTCACCAAGTAAACATGTGAGAAATCTTTCTGAACTATGCTACTTTTCAGTAGTTTATTATTTTACAAAATTTACCTTATGTGTGAAAATTTATAGTTCAATTATTATAGCTGAGCAGGAAGTATGTACTGCAGCTTATGGCAGCAACTGTACTAGACAAGGAATTAATATCCCCTTTACAACCATGTGCTTCTTTTTCTTTTACCATAATGAGGAGGAAAGAGATGTTATAAGCCAGACATGATGAACAAGGCAGGAATTATCAGGACAGAGGAGCGGAAGGGTTTTTTGAAGGGCTACTCAATTCCTCCTAGTCTTACAGTGAAGGCCAAAAACAAGGCAAGGAACCTGTAGCAGTGCTTGAGTTAGAGCATTATAAAGAGATAAGTGTGGGCATGGACTTTTCCTATGGCTTCTAAGAACCCCTCAATACTTTAAGCCAGACAACCATCCATTCACTGCTCACTGCTCCTAGGTAAGTTAAGTCCATCTTAACACAAATTCCTGCCTTGAAACACCACCGGGATCCTCAGCCAGAGTAAAATATTTCACTGACTTCACTGATGGCATCTGCTCCCTTGGGTAAGGCAGCCTCAACACCAAGTCACTCAGTCCAAGAGATGACAAGCCCAAACTGCCCCCCTCACTTTACTGGGAGCAGAGGTGGGCCACCACATCACCAAGTAAGGTCACTATGCAAGTGGTTTCCATTCTCTCCACTTTTGTGGATATTTTTAAATGTCCTTAGTAAAAAGAAAAAACCTCACCCATTGTGAGGTGCTGAAAACTCTATAAATAGTTAAAAAAACACACACTCACAGAAGCATTTTTGTGTAAATTTAGCAAACTGATCATTCTGTAAAATGGTTTGCAGCCAATCACTTCTTTCCATATTTGGAAAGATCTTCCCTGACTGTCCAATTCAAAGTGGTTATCCAATCACTATTATATCAGCCTGTTTAATTTTCTTCATTGAACTTAACATGATATTTTTCTTATATATTTGTTTATTGTTTATGGTCTCCCCTCTGCTAGAATATCAGTTCCTTGAGAAAGAACCCTTGTCTATTTTGTTTACTGCTCTATTCCCAGCAATTAGAGCAGTGACTGCAACAAAGTAGGCACTTCATGAACATGTAGACAATTAAGTGTATAACAGTCAAAAGACAAGTAAAAACACACTCGGATTTTTCCATAATTTCTTAATTTTTAAATAAATATTACATATTTTTATAACATGTCAATTTCATTAAAGTCATTTCAAAATTCTAGATGACCCTTATTCTTTCAAAAAATATACCAGGTACAGTGGCTCATGCCAGTAATCCCAGCACTTTGGAAGGCCAAGGCTGGAGGATGGCTTGGGCCTAGGAGTTTGAGACCAGTCTGGGCAACACAGCAAGACCCTGTCTCTACAGAAACATTAAAAAAAATTAGCCAGGTGTGGTCGTGGGTACCTGTAGTCCCAGCTACTCTGGAGGATTGCTTGAGCCCAGGAGTTGAGGTTGCAGTGAGCTATGATCACACCACTGCACTCCATCCTGGGCGACAGAGCAAGATCCTATGTCAAAAGAGCCAAACAAACAAACAAACAAAATAACCTTACTCAGTCCCAAGCATGGGGAAGTATAGCAGTGAAGGAGACAAGCAGGGGCCCTCCTCTCATTCAGCTTGTATTTTAATGGAAGTTAAAACTTTGTTACTTAAATGAGGCTCAGAAAGCACACGTCATGCATCTTTTAATTTCTAAATGGCATCTGTAGTTTTAGAACAGTACTTCTCTACATATGGGTTGCAACCTGGGGTTGGAGAAGGAAGGGACAGAAGGTTGTCTGAGAGACCTGAAACCTTAAGCCTTACCCAGTGGTATCCGGCGTTGCCTCACAAAGTCCACCAGATCCAGGGATTCTTCCTCACAGGAGTTGAGAAATGTTCCATGCCCGATTCTGTCAGGAAGCAGACCCAGGAGTATTTGTGTTTCTTTTTTTTGGTTTGGAATCTTAACAAAAGGAAGAAAGGGGATTAATGATCTCTTTCCATGGTTCTTAAGGTATGTTTTTCCTATAGCTATTTTTTTTATCTGACCCTCTGAGTAGTTAAAGCAGACATTCAGGAAAGCTGAACTACTTATACCTTCCTAGCTCTCTTCTTCACCTTTTTTTTTTTTTTTTGAGACAGAGTCTGGCTCTGTTGCCCAGCCTAGAGTGCCGTGGCATCAGTCTGGCTCACAGCAACCTCAAACTCCTAGGTTCAAGCAATCCTTCTGCCTCAGCCTCCCAAGCAGCTAAGACTACAGGCATGCACCACCATGCCAAGCTAATTTTTTCTATATATTTTTAGTTGTCCAGCTAATTTCTTTCTATTTTTAGTAGAGATGGGGTCTCACTCTTGCTCAGGCTGGTCTCGAACTCCTGACCTTGAGCAATCCTCCCGCCTTGGCCTCCCAGACTGCTAGGATTACAGGCGTGAGCCACCACGCCCGGCCTCTTCTTCACCTTTTTTCTTCTCATTCGTTCCCCAATATTCTTCCAGATTCATTTCAGTGATAAACACCTACTAAGAATCTACTTTGTACCTTTTTGTTAAGGCCTCACAAATCTTACAAAGTGCTAAGATGAAGAAATTAAAGCTTAGAAAAATTAAATAATTTTCCAAAACCAAAATGCTACAACTCTATATGTGTGCTCCATATTGTGTATGTGTTCATATATATTAGAAAAAGTTCTGAAAAATGTAAACACATTAACTCTGAGGAACAGAACTGAAATAGAAAGGGAACATTTCACTTTAATTTTTTTCCATATATTATACTTCTCTACACTTGGATTTTCTTCAGGTACATATATAACTTTTGTAGTTAAAAATATAAAGCATTTTAAAAAAAATTGTCACAGGTCATAGAGCTAGTGAAAGGTAGAAATAAAGGGTGAAGCCTAACTCTGTTTGACCCCAGGGCCCAGACACTTTCCACACAGCATGCTCATGTTTTATTTTGACAAGTCTAGCTATGTACACACCACAATCACCATAAAATGCCTAGCTCTGCTCTTTATCTCCTAGATAGCCCAAAACACAAATGATCAGAACATTTTGAAATGAAATTTTTTATATCCAATGAATCAAATAAAAAAAAGCAACAGAAACTAAAGTAAACAGCAGGTACTCACGCTTTGCACAAGGCCAGAGGTAACTGGTCACAGTCACATATGCTGTTCCATTATATCGAACAACGGTTTCTGTCACACACCGGTTAAGTCAGCTATATGGTGTCCTATGAGTCTTTTTTGATCAGAGTATGGAAACATGGATTCTAGATTTTAAGTTCTGCCACTAGTTAAGTTCTGCCACTGACCCTCTGCTTGTAGACATAAAAGATACAAGTACTGGCAAGAGGTTCCAATTTTTTTATTTTTATTTTTATATTTTTTAGATAAGGTCTCGCTCTGTCACCCTTGTTAAAGTATAGTGGCATCACCATAGCTCACTACAACCTCAAACTCCTGGGCTCAAGTGATCCTCCTGCCTCAGCCTCCCAAGTAGCTGAGACTACAGGTACACCACACCATACCTGGCTAATTTTTCTATTTTGTGTAGAGACAGAGTCTTGCCATATTTGCTTAGGCTGCTCTTGAACTCCTGGTCTCAAGCGATCCTCCAGCCTCCACCTCCCAAAGTGCTGAGATTACAGGTGTGAACCACCACGCTCAGCCAAGAGGTTCCAATTTTTTCCTTAATTTTTAAATCATTATGCTACTCAATCTTTACATATTAGCTTTTTAATACAACAACTTTGTGAGGTAAGTAGGCTAAGTATTATTTCCTGCATTTAAGAAACAATAGGTAGAAGTACTGAAGTAGAAAGTAAATCCATCTATAAAATGGGGAACAGTGCAGGAGAGTCCCTTGTTTTACTCACAGGGATGTGCTTAAGAATGTAACTGTTTTCCAGCCATACCTGTCACTGTTTTTAATGATACAGCTGGAATTCCAGTCAACAGCCACCCTCAGGAACCACAAAAAGATAAAAATAGTAACCCTAGAGAATAAAGTAAGTCATGCCTTTATCATTTTAATTTACATTTAAAAACATTTTTACTGTCCCCTTTTAAAAATGTTTTTTCTTCTTCTTTTTTTTTTTCTTTTTACTTGTGGGTACCTCCAGAACCCACAAGTACAAAGGTCTAGAAAGTATCTTAAAAATGTTTTTTCAGTCCAGGTTTATTTCTAGCCACTTACAAATGATCCTATTATTTTCCATTATAATCTGTCCTCTCCAGCCTAGACAATATTATTTACCTCCGAAAGATGCAATGCCAACTTCAGACCTGCTTTTTTAGCTTCTAAAAGAGGTTCCAAGAAGTCTTTTGCTTGTCCTACCTTGAAGATTAAAAGTTAAAACAAGGATGCATGAGAATTCTGGGCAAATTGAAGTATTAAGCACCCTGTTCCCATGAAGAAAATAATAATGGCAAATTCATCTGCATATTTTGTTTATAAACCACCTACATAACATTGTGCTAGACACTTTGCAGAATACAAAGCAGGCAAAGGCATAGTTCCTGCCCTTGAGAATCTTAAGTCTAGTATCAGTGAACCTGAGGCCAATTAGCAAAGCTGAATACAGCAGTCACCAAATTTTATTTCTGGAAGGACACCTATATATCTAGTGCTGAGGAGAACTCACCTGATTCAGGAACTCTTGTGATTACTAAAAACAATTCCATTTAATAGATGGATAAAAAGAAGAACAGAATAGTCCAAATATAGACAAAACCATAAGAACCAGTTTCACGGGAGTCTCATTCAGTGGTTCTCAACCAGGTTCAATTCTACCTCCCATGGTACATTTGGCAATGTCTGGAGATATTTCTTCTTGTCAAAACTGGAAGAGTATACTGGCATCTAGTGGGTAGAGGCCAGGGATGATGCTAAACATCGTAAAATGCACAGGGCAGCCCCCACACCCCCACAACAAAGAATTATCTGGCCCCAAATGACAAGATTTCTACTTGACTCTGACATTCAAGAAGTTAAGGCTGTGTATCATCTTTAGAAGAACAGAGATAACAGTCACACAGTCAAGCAAATCTTTTTTTTTTTTTTTTTAGGACGCTTAATTCTTTCATAGAACCCTGGCTAAGAGCAGCTGTTTTAGACATTCTGGTCATCCAGGGCAGAAGAGCGCTTTACCCACAGAGTGTCTGCTGGACACTGAAGAATGCGGGATGCTCCAAGCTAATCCCCATCCCACTGATTCTACCTTTTAGAATTAAAATGTATTTAGGAAAAATAACTTACAGCAGGGTCTCCACTGAGGTCAAGGCCAAGAACTATTCCCTCAGTAGAAAGGAAGAACTCTTCAGCAAGTTTAACAGTCTCCTTGGCCACTGAAGGGCCACCTCTTCTGTCAATTGCTATCAAATACCTTTAACATAAGAAAAACATAGTTGAAAAGTAATACAACACAAATGAAGAAGACAACTCTGAGTGTGGCCAGAGAGGCATGGCAGGCTACATGTAATACATCTTACTAGAAAAAGTATAGCCTAACTGAGTCTGGACAACATGACAGTTTACTTTGCCAGAAGGAATGAGACATGAATTCCTAAATAGCATCAAGTATCTAGTCGGCGTTCAAATTTCCAACTCTCTTGTGTTTTTCTATTCATGTATTTGTTTTTTAGTTTGTTTGATTCAGGATCCAAAATAAGGTCCATGCTTGTAAGTCAATGTATCTCTTAAGTCTCTCCATTTTTTTTTTGGAGACAGGGTCTTGCTCTGTTACCCAGGCTAGAGTGCAGTGGCGTCATCACAGTTCACTGCAACCTCAAACTCCTGGGCTCGAGCAATCCCCCTGCCTCAGCCTCCTGAGTAGCTGGGACTACAGGTGCAGGCCACCACGCACTGCTATTTTTTTTCTATTTTTCATCGACATGGAGTCTTCCTATGTTTACCAGGCTGGTTTCAGACTCATCGGCTCAGGCAATCCTCCCACCTCAGCCTCCCAAACTGCTAGGACTATAGGGCTGAGCCACCACACCCAGCCAAGTCTCTTTTATTCCACAGCCACTCCTTCCTCTCCTCCTCCCACCCCTGCCCCACCTCTTGTCTTGCAATTTGTTTGTTAAAGAAACCAGGTTGTTTGTCCTGCAAAGTTTCTCATAGTGTGGATTTTGTTGATTGTATTCCTGTATAGCTAACGTTTTCCTATCTCTTGTATTTCCTATAAATCAATAATTGGATCTAGTCTAGAGGCTTTATCAGATCCGATTTGATTTTTTGGCAACAATAAATTGGTGGTATATTCTCGGGACGCTTTGAGCCATTATTTCATGAGTGGTTACAAAATTATATTCTAATTCTAAAATGTATCAAATATCTGATACAAATTGATTCTTCATATATTAGCTAGAATTTTATAGGACTTGAATACCCAGAGAACCCCTGTTAATACTGTCATTTTTCTCCAGCATTAGTTTACTTATTTAGTCACAAAATAAATTTCTTCAGCATTTATTTGTTTATTTACAAAATCTGGATCAATTATATATAAAGATCAATTATATATAAAATACAGTGTCACTGTATTTTCACTTAATTTTCTGTGCCATTAATATTAGAAAACAATATAAATCATATGAACATACCATAATGTGATCGTCCTCTGACTGCTAGACAGTTTACGATGTTTTCTATTTTTTGTTATAACACTACATACAGTAAGGTCTTATGCATAAATCAATCTATTTCCTAGGACACATTACTAGAACAGAATTACTGGGTCACAGGGAAAAGTTTTTTATAAATCTTGATACATATTGTTATTTAGAGAGGTTTTATTAATTACATATGCTTACCAGTAGTGTGCAACTTCACAAACACCTGTTACTACTTTTTTCCTAAACCTATTGAAATGGCATTGTAATATCTGCTTTTAAAATTATCTGATTAATGAGGTTAAATAGTTTTCTATTCATTTACTGGCCATTTGCATGTCTTCTTTTCTGCATTCTTTTCTTGTCTTCCACTTGGTTTTTCATTGGGGTATTAGTCTAGTTAAGCTTAATTTTTAGAGATGCTTATAGCCTGAAGCTATATAGCTAGCTTGCTTTCTTTCTTCATTCAAGGCCTTACTGAACCCCTAGTATGTGCCAGCTTTGTTCTAAGTACTAAAGATGTAATAGTGAATCAAAAGACAAGGTCCCTGGCCTCACTGAACATGCACTCTAGTGGGTGGGTATATATACAAAATAATACAAGTTAATTCTTTATCTTGTTATAAATGAATGCCACAGAGAAAAAAGATGGATGATTGGAGGATTAGGGGAGCACTTTAGATACTGGTCAAGGAAGGCCCTTTGAGGAAATGACAGCCAAATCGAGACCCTAATAACAAGAAGGCAGCCTTGCAAGGATCTAGTAGAAGTGTGTTCTAGGGAAAAGTAACAGGAAGTACTGTACCAAGTTGCTGAGCAGGCCAGTGCATAGTAAGTGAAGAGGAGTGGTCTAGATGAGCTGTCGAAGTAAGAGGGGCAGCCAGATCATGTGGGGCCTCGTGGGCCACAGTAAGAAGTCCATTTTAATTTAATAGCAAAGGGATGCTATACTTTACTCAAGCAAAAATGCTCAGAATTTTATTGCCATATGAATAAATTTAGAATTGTATTCTCACTTTAAACAACAAGGTTCTTGATTCTATTTTTCTATGGCAGGTAGAAATCATTTAAAGGTACATTATTAAAAATCCATTACACCCATGATCAAAACAGTAAAAATTCACATTCTAAAAATGGTAACTACTAAGGTACAATTTTCTTACCTAACATCAATGTCTAAGTTTTCTTCTTTAGACTGTTTTATGCCCTCAAGTACAGATTCCACATAAGTCTTTTTAGTCATTCCTGGAAAGGACACATGGAAAATATATGTAAAGAGAGATCATCAGCTATTTTAGCCTTCAACTTTAGCATCTCTATATGAACAATACATTTTCATTTTATGCTGTGACAAGGGCATGATTAAAGGTAAGTGAAAACACGGCCCTTAATGGGTACATTTTAGTTAATGCTAATTGTATTTTAATAAAACTGAAAAAAATGAAGTATTAGGGAAAAAAAAGGACATATGCTATACCAACCCATTTAAAAATTAGTCTTACATTCAATAGACATGAAATTGCCCTCACAAATTACTATAAAAATTTAAATGCTCATTTTAACAAAACAAGAAAAACAACAAGCCCTTTTCTAAGGCTTGTCCTTTAAAAAAATAAAAATAAAAAGATACATTTTCTCTATTAATAGGATGTTTTTCTGCTGGTCCAGAAAAAAAAACATCCTAGCTTGGGTTCCTTTCCCCTCAATCCTACTCAAGCTTGGTGTTTCTCATCCAGGGCACCAGAGATGTTCTTCCAAATTTGAGTGCTCTGGTGTTCCTCTTCTGGGAGGCTCTGCAAAAGTGCTCTCCAGAACAACTTCCTCTAAAATACTCTTTTACCCTGATTATAAAATGCTTGTTTTGGTGGAAAATTTCTAGTGAAACACAGAAAATTATAAAGAAGAAAAATAAATATAACCTGTAATCTCACCACCCAGAGATAACTACCATCTTTTTTTTTAAGTATACATATACACATGTTTAAATAGATGAGATGCTTCTAGGTATACATGTACCTGCTTCAGTCATTCAATATTGCATTCTAAGTATTTCCCCGTGTCATTAAAGTGTCTTCACAAATATTTTTAATAGTTGCCTAATATGCCATTAACCTTTATTTAAACATTCCCCTACTGTTGCATACTAAGGTTAATAATATCCTTCTTCCCTTCCATTACCCTCACCAGCTGAACTTGGAACCAACTGTACAGTTTAAAAATGTGAGATAAGAATCTTGTGGTTGTCCCGTTTAAACATTTACTTTACAGTAATAGTTTCAAAAATGTTACCACCCAAATGATTGCTAAGCTACACACATCACGGCACATGACGACCTAGGTCTCGTCAGGTCATAGACAAGGTGCCCAGAGGGTCTCAATGACACTACATAGTATCTCCTGATGCTGCTCTTATGGAAGCAGGGTCCCAGGAAGTCCCTCCAGACCACATCCAGATTCGCTCATCTCCATCCAGAGAGGTTTTGCTACATCAACAGTTTGCCCCTGGCCTAAGAAACTATCAGTCCCTGAGCAGTGACCGAATAACCTATATTTCAATAACCACCATAAAATATGATTCTGTATCCCCTCAGTGGCATTGTCTCACAAGTGCCCTTGATACAGGGAACAAGAATTAGCCTCTGTTATAACAGTACAACTATCATAGTAAGTGTTCTTTTCTCAGAGTGAGAGAAACTAAATAAAGAAGAACAAAAGAAATTTTTACAGGACTTTTTCTCCCCCCTTAAACAGACAATGCCTGACCAGATTTACTACTTTTTACTTAGGAATAACTCACTCATCAATAATGTACATCACTAACGTACATTAGAGGATTTGGACTGTTGATTAAAGGTCCCTATGAAAATAGAGAACAATACAATAGTGTAAAAGTCCTTCATACTCCCAACTTCAAAATATGTGAATGATCAAAACACACAGGAAAAGGGACAAACAGTACATTCAGTGAGAAGTATAAATTCTACCAGTAGCATTTTCTCTTCTGGGTGTGCTCCTTAGTTCCAGGTACTTGACACCATCATCTGCAAATTCTTTAATGACATCTTTTGTGACCTGATAATAAAGGCAATAATGTTAGCATAAGGGTCCCAATGAAAGTGCCAAGTGCTACAGCTTTCTTTCATTCATTAAATTTGATTTTCAAGAAATACCAGCACCATCGCACATGGTAGAGATTAACTGCTTTGTCACACCCTGATGGAGAACACAACAGAGCTGCAACATCTCCAGTAGCTCTCACCACACCCTCATTCCCACCTTAAATCTAAATGTGCACATCTATCACACTGTTACTTTCTTCCCTTTTAACCATTTCTCTATTTTCTCATGTTCATAAGGCAGATCGATAAAACACAGAAATGAGGGAAAACTAAAACCAGGTGGAACCATCTAATGTGTTTATGGTGTAGGAAATGTACATACAGAAATAAACAGTTAAAATGATTAGGCATTACTGATGTGCTATTTAAAGCCAAGGCTTAAGGTTCTTATTCATGTTACTTAGAATAAATTGTATTTTTCAACGGATGCTGGTAGGATTAAATTTTCCCAAGAAGTACTTAGGAAAATTCCCCTAAGCGAAGAAAGTTAGTGATAAATATTAAGTAAAAACATATCTAATTTAGTACAAATCTCAATAATCCAAAAGTTACCAAAGGCATGTTTCTCTTTTCTACCCTAAAACCTAAAAAATACCAAATCTAAAAGAAAAAAAGGACTAAGTAGGGGCCACTGTAACTACCTGCCCTAGTTAGTCCTTACAGCTGGTATCCCAATCTTCATCTGCTTTGTCTGTATGCACATAGGCATGCGAGTGCAGTGTCCTGGCAAGGAACAGGGCTGGCTGTTTGTGAAGACAGTGCCTAATGGGATGGCACTATGTTGGTGAATTCATAGCAATCCAAGGTCTGGGCCTCTTCTTTTTTTTTTTTTTTTTTTGTTTGGTTTGCACCCCACCCCCCGGACTAAAGCCAAATAGGAATTTATTATACTGTAAATGGAATGGGTGGCTCAGATTCACCAGAAGGTCTGGAGAACCAGACTCTCAGACTACACAGCTCAAGACAACATTTAAGCATTCAAAATCATGAGATACTCCCAGACCAAGCAAGACACCACTGCTGCCTCCACCACTGAACACATCCCTGCAGCCTCCACGCCTTCATCACTGGTACTTGGCCCTGTGGCACTGCTACCCCAGGAACTCCATCTTGCTGCCACTGATGCCTTATCTTTGCAAGGTGAGGAACCTGGATCTTGCATTGCCTCAGAAAGGAAGAGACCCAGAGGGACCAACTCACCCTACCCCAGCTCATGAGACTAATGCAGAAACCTGTTTGACAAAGGAGAGGTAAATAGAAGTGAGGGTTTGAAATGGTGGTCCTTTTCAGTGACTGAAGTGATCATATACACTGTCCAAGGCCCCCCCTTCCTGGGCAGTTAGGTACCTGCAAAACCAAATGAACAATGAAAAGGTTGCTGGCAAGTATGTAACAAGAGCAAAGGGAGGAAGATTTATCTAGGCCACAGTCAGGCCTGTGGAATTATCCCTAACCCACACCCAAGAACCCTTCCCTGGGGTCACATTTGTATCTGCCAGATTTAGCCCTTTCTGTTCTGTGCAGTGGATACTGAGGGCTACTCTTTGCTCTTCCCTCTCCTATGCTCTGGACTGAGAGTATCTATTCAAATTCTTTTTCCAGATAGAGTACATCACAATTAGTTAAGTTCCTGCTTACTCAAAGGTCTGTAAGACTGTATAGCTTGAATGAGAAATGAGCTCTGGAACCAGAGAGAGTCAGTTCTTCCACTTACTCTCTGAGGTAACCTTAAACAAGTTACACTTAAACTCTTTAAGCCTTTTTTCCATCTGCAAAAAAGGAATAATAAAAATACCTACTTTAGAGAGTAGTCCTGAGAATAATGTTTGGTACATGTAATAGTGAATATCATTTTCTCAGCCACATTCAAATCCTGTCTCTTTGAGATTATACCCAGGTCAACTTGACTAGAGTTTTAAGTGATTCCCCCACACTGAGTTCCACATTTACGAATGATCTCTTAGCTTCCTCTCACAGATGTTTCATCTGTAATATTGGGCCCCTCACAGTCATCCTCTGAACCACCTAAAGATGCTCATCCAATAGCACTAAGTCAAATGCACAAAACCTTGTTTCACAACTCACTTAATAGAGCTTTTCAACTTTCATTCTGAAATGAATGTAGTGATACACATGGCATTATTATACCCATTGAGTATTAAGCTTTCAGAATTTCAAATTTCATTTTTTTGCTCCATAACACTCAAGAACTAGGTGAGACCAGAGCCCTGTGGTAGAAATTCCTAGGAGTGTTCAATGTTATCTGTTGAGTCGCTGATAATAGAATGCCCTTTTGGGTTTCTATAAATTCTTGTGCATGTTTCTAATATGAAGTTTATCACATTATGTTGCATTTATCTGCTTATGGGTTTGTCTCTCTAACCTGACCAGAAATTTCTTGGGGGCAGGGACTGTCTATCTCTCCTTATATCTCCAGGTCTTTGGCACAGTACCTAGAACACTACAGGCCCTCAGTCAACTTTTGTTGAACTAAACTATTAGTGTTAACTCTCCTCTAAAAGGTGATTAATTTACTTACAACTTATCATGAAGATCAGTCTTGACCAAGGGGGAAAATTTTTTCTTGAGCGATCAAAAGTAACTTCTCCAGAAACACAGGTTATACTTACATTTTTTTTCTAAAGGCTAAGAACACTGACAAGATTTTGTTTCTCTCCATTTACAAAGAAGACATTTTAAAATGCCATCCTGGTCAGATCAATGATACAGAGGCCAGTCTTCCATGTCAGACTCTAGTATCATGGAGCTTCAGAAAAGAGAACATAGTGGCATCCTCTACTCCTTCATCCCCAGAGAGAAGGCACAATTTCCCTAGGGATTAATCACTCAATCTATAAGTACTTCTTGAACTTCTTAATTCTCTATAATGTCCACTCAGGCAGTTAAAAGTTTCCTACACAATACAGACAAAGCCCTATCAAGGACATGCCCATCTGTGGTCAAATATTTCATATATCATATATTAAAAACAGGACCAGATATTGTCTTCCATATGGTCCTCAATCCAACAGAAGATGCTCATCTTAGTTCTTTCCTCATATCTTTTACAACAGACACAGTTTTTTTATATTAGCTCTTAGGCAAATGTCTTATATTGGTTTTGAAAAGAGTTGCCATAAAAAAAATTTTTTTTCATCAGACACTTAATAAAAGTAAAAATGAAAGGTCATGTGCAACAACAAAAGGGCATAAATTATTTCATAATCTTAACCATCTAAAATTCCTTCATGTCTCACCATTAGAATATCTTCAGGGCTACTAGTAAGCTGATGAATAGTTTGAAACATCTGGAAACATCTGCAACATGAATGAAAAGTTTTAGCACATCCTATTCATCAAAAACTTGTCACTCAAGAGAAACTAAGCAGAATTAACAGATTTTAGGCTAACAGTAAGTATACATTTATATTTACAAAAAACTACAAAGTAAGTTTTTCAAAAATTACATTTACCTGGAAAGATAATCAAATGACTGAAAATAAAACATTAATGATATTTTTAAGTGAGAAATAATAGTTCCCCTTCTTTAACCCCACCTCAGACACAGGGACAAAATTCAATATGCCTATATTATCAAGTCTAAAGAATATTCCAATTTAGCATAACTTCACAAACAACACAAATCACTAAAAATACTGTCAATAGTCTGACGGTTGGAAAAAATGCTGTATGTTAAATTATACTCTCCATGGCAGATGCCTACCCCATTCTTTCTAATTAGTAAAATCTGAATTCTTACTACTTACAATCTCAAAATACTGATACACAAAAAAAAGAAGTATGACACAACCTCCCCAAACTCACTCTTCTAAAGTTCGTTTCTTTCCTTTGTCAATCATAGTCATCTGATCATCGATTTTAAGATCTGGCTTCTTGGCTATTAATTTCTTCATGGTATTAGAACTAATGGATCCATTCAAGTGGGCATGAAGTTCCTAACACAAGAGAATACAATCAGTAAAAACCTATCAAGTGTCCAATAGTTTCATAGCATCATACCAGGCACTGGATGTTTGCAGTTTGTACTAGGCAAACTGCCTATATAATTTAGCTACATAACTTTTAAAGTTTACAAATTCTGCCTACAAAATTTACTTTTCTTTTGCAAAAAGGAACAACATAAAAGTCATTTAATTAGCAACCACTCAAGAATTCTGCAGTTGAATTCTCACCACTTTTGGCAATTCCAAGTAAAAGTCTGTCTTCCATGGTTGTTGCTGTTCTTCCACCTCCATTGTGATTTTAGCAGGAAAAAAATAGTCCTCCACTCTTGATACGAACAACACAACCTATTTCAGCCAGTAAATTCTGTGGTCCCAAATTTCCTTCAGATTGCTTTCCTTCCACACATTTTGATAAGATTAGCTATATGTGTAGCTCTGGGCTCAGCTGCACCTACTTAAACAAATGGGAATATTTTTGGATGTTGACATAAAAGCAAAGAAACAGGATTTTGCTTATTTAGTCTTCAAAAAGCAAAAACCCCTCCAAAGCTAATTTAAGTGTGTCTGAGGTGGGGAAATGATTAGTAAACAATCTGAACTAGAAATAGGAAAAGGCCTCAAACTTGTAAAAGGTGTATTAAAACCTGAAATTTAGTACATTCCTTACCTATTAGGACCGTCTATAACTACTTCAGAAATTAGAAATTTTATAAGGCCTATTTTGGATAAAAATAAAATTTACATTTTTGAAATATTTAAAATATATAAAGGAAGAGCAGAGGTGTTGGGAGTCAGACGGACCTAGGTTTGTCCTTTTACCACTTCTGCAGGTTAGTACTGTGTGGCTTTAGTCACTTCCATGGCTTCAGTTTCCTTATTTGTAAAAATGGGATTAAAAATACACAGTAGCTGTGAGGATTAAAAAAGTAATTTAAATCCCCCCTTCTGTGCTCCTACATGAGCCAGTGACTACTTTAACTCAGTATCTTGTCACACTGTATCTCAATCACTGCTTTACTTGTCTTTCTCCGTCATCAGACTTTGTTTCTTGAGCATAGGTCCTATTGATTAGTCTACCACTCTAGCACCTAGCACAGTGCCTAGCTCACTGTAGGTGATAAATAAATCCTCATTTCCCTTCACCTCTGAAAGTGGCTTATTAAATTAAGATAAAATTCCAAATGAAATTTAGTGATTTTCAAAGTAGCCACCTTGAACCTCTCTGGGTTCTCACCTATTAATGATAATGATACTGACAAGAATAACAGCTTCCATCTACTCAGAACCTGCCAGGTATGTGGCAGGTACTTTTAATAATACTATCTTTAATTCTCACAATAATATTGTAAAATATTATTACCATATTACAAATCAATAAATTGATATTTAACAGAGTTAAAGAAGTTACCAAAGCCAGGCACAGTGGCTCATGGCTGTAATCCTAGCACTCTGGGAGGCCGAGGTGGGCGGATTGTTTGAGCTCAGGAGTTCGAAACCAGCCTGAGCAAGAGCGAGACCCCATCTCTACTAAAAATAGAAAGAAATTAATTGGACAACTAAAAATATATAGAAAAAATTAGCCGGGCATGGTGGCGCATGCCTGTAGTCCCAGCTACTCGGGAGGCTGAGGCAGGAGGATCGCTTGAGCCCAGGAGTTTGAGGTTGCTGTGAGCTAGGATGACGTCACGGCACTCACTCTAGCCTGGGCAACACAGTGAGACTCTGTCTCAAAAAAAAAAATTCATAAAACATCTGAATCTCAGAAGAGTAATACCCAATATTGGTAAAGATATGAGTAAAAGCTCTGGTGGGAGCAGAGCTTGGTATGATCTTTTTGGAAAACAGTTTGGAAACATCTATCTATTAAGAAAAACACATATTTTTTGACCCAATAGTTCTACTTGTAGGAATTTATCCTATATCTTTCATGAACAAATATATTTCTTATAGCATTGTTTATAACAGCAAAAAGCTGGAAATAACCTAAATGTCATCAGTAGTGTACTGACTAAATTATTAATTATATATCCAATTGAACATCTCTATGGGAAGATGACAGTGTCACTTTCAAAAATATATTGTTTAGAGAGATGACTTTATAAATGTGTGTGTGTATATATACACTCACATAACAAATACACACACATTAATTTATTTATATTGTTACACCTAAAACATACATGAAAGGATATATGGAAAATTGTTACCACTAGAAAGTGGTTTGGAAGTGGGAAAGGTTAGGGGGGAGTATTTTGTTTACCTTATATACTTTTGTGCAATCTGAAGGTTTTACAACAAGCATGTAATATCTGATAATTTTTAAAATAATTTAAAAAACAGTGCTTGCAAAAACAGCTTAATTATTATGAATTGTTCTAACTTGATGAAATATTACTAATGGAAATCTTATCCCAGGGTTTGTTGCCTTTCTCCATTAGTAATATTTCATCAAATTAGAGCAGGGCCAAAACCAAGTTTCCTGTCCCAGGGAACTTTTTTCATACTTCCCCCACCCAAAAATGGAATTCAGAATAAAAAACTTGCTACTATTTATTATGCACTTACTAGGAGCCAGGCACTGTGCTGAGTGTCTCAGAAATTATTTAAATCCTCAAAACAACCCATAAGGTATTATTATCCCCATTTCACATAAGAATAAACTGAGATTTAAACAAACAAAATAGTCTTAAGGCATCCAAATCACAAATTTTGCTCCATTCTCTTTCTTCTTGAATCACTTTTCTTGATCTGCTCTTTGCAAAAAAGTACTATTTTTAACATAACATCTATATTTTACTAACTTGTCATTAAATAAATTCCTTTCTACAGTGCTATATATCTTTCCAAAGTCCTTCGACTCCTTTTTTTTTTCTATTTGGCCCTCAATCAACCCTGAGATACCTTATAAAGCAGAACTTAATCCCCTCATTTTAGAGATGAGGAACCAAAGACCCAGCAAACTTCCCTGGGTCCTTCTCCCAGTTCCTACAGAGGCAAGTCCAAATTCCTCAACTGTTCTACCAGATCCAACCACCTTACAATAAACTGACAACCCCTTATAGAGAATACAAAAGCCATCAGGCATGAATTCCTTCTATTTCTCTCTGCCCTACCCCACACCTAAGCTTATCTTTATCCATACTCTTTTTTTCCTCACGAGTCAGAGAAAAAGGATCCATTTTCCTGTCCCCAAGACTAATATGTACCCAGGATACCGTTTCTTCCTATCTAGTCCAAGTGGTTACTCTGCCAGTGAGTTATCTTCTTGTTTTTCTGTTCCTTCAACCTCTTCCCCTCTACTGGCTGATTTCCCTCATGGGACCAACATGTATGTGCAGTATTTGCTTCCACCTGAAAACAAAAGAAAAAACTCTTTCACCCCACATTCTTCTTTAGCTACTGCCCTGTCTCTCCTTTCCTTCCATGATAAGCTCCTTGAAAGTATAATTTAGATTCAATGCCTCCATTAACTTATCTCCCATTCACTGAAACATGGATTCTGCCCTCATTGCTTTGCTCCACGGAAACTACTCTCCCTAAGGTTTGTTTGTTTGTTTTGGGTTTTTTTTTTTTTTGAGACAGTCTCGCTGTATCACCCTGCCTAGAGTACAGTGGCATCATACTAGTTCACTGCAACTTCAAACTCCTGGGCTCAACCGATCGACCTGCCTTAGCCTCTGAAGTAACTGGGACAACAGGTGCACCACAACCCCGGGCTAATTTTTCTGTTTTTGTAGAGACAGGGTTTCACTCTTGTTCAGGCTGGTCTCCAACTCCTGGGCTTAATGGATTCTTCCACCTCAGCCTCCCAGAGTGCTAGGATTACAGGGGTGAGCCACTGTGCCCGGCCCCCTAAAGTCATTAATGAGCTCTTAAACACCATATCTAAATGAGATTTTTCAATGATCAAATCTTTATCCTGATTCAAACTTTCTCTTGATTCCAATATTCAAATTGGCTGGGCTCGAAACTCATACTCTTAACCATTATGCAATATTACTTCAAGTTAACCATTCATCCTGATTTCCTTCTCTATTTCAGCCGGTCAGTCACCAAATCCCAACTAATAAATTATAAATATCCTATGTATCCCTGGAAGCAGTTTCCTATTGATGACTCCGATACCCAATGTTGAAACTTTATGATTATTTTAAATTCCAACCTGGATTTATTCCTTAAAAATAAAGCTCAGAACATATCACAGGGAATAATCACTCTCTTCAGTGACCCCCTCTTCAGCGGACATATTTAACACTACTTCAGAATCCACAGGTTTTTGGAAGTGGAGGGGTGTGTCATTCTAACGATGAGAAACAGAGGCGAACGGTTAACTCACTGTCAGCCTATCACAGGACTAGGAATACAAGGGTATCAGCAGTCTGTATCTGTGGGGGCCATGTTTATTGTAAATATCTGTAAATTATCTGTAAAGGTTAGTTTCTTCACTTTGCACCTGGCCTCACTGATTTTTCAGACTTAAATGGGTTCTCTTTTGCAACGATGAGAGTATTAAATAAATTAGCCTCGAAAGACACCAACTAATCCTTGCCGGCTAAAGGTGCGTAGTGCTGACCCTTCTAGATCCTTCCCAGACCCTCCTTCAGCCGTTCAAGGAAGTCAGGTCATCAGTACCCAAGGACTCACCTCTTAGCGATTTCTCAACTATGAGGACCTAGACGAGTTTTCCCTTCAGCCTGGAAGACTTGTAAAAAAGTGACAACCCGCGCACCCCTAATACACGTGTCACAGCGGTAGCCGGCCGCCTACCCAGGAAACGTAATGCGGGAGAATGAAAAAAAGGTCAATCACAGTCGCATTGAGTACAAGCTACACCCTCCTCCATTCTGATTGAGGCGCGCTCTCCCGGAAGTGACGCACACCGTCTGCGGAAGGGAAGCCGAGGGGGAGCGGAGAGGTTTCCGTACATAGGTCCCTGAAGTGTGTACTGTTCGGCCGAAGGAGCGGCTCACAACCGTGACCGACCGCCGTTCCTGAGTCTCTCCTGGCCATGGGGCCACGGAGCCGCGAGCGTCGGGCGGGAGCAGTAAAGAGCACCAACGACAGCAGCGCCCTCAGCAAGAGTTCCCTGGCCGCGCGCGGGTACGTACAAGACGCCTTCACGGTCCTGCTGGTCCCGGGGGCCGCGCGCCGCGCGCCACTCATTCACCGAGGATACTACGTCCGCGCACGCGCCGTGCGGCACTGCGTGCGCGCCTTCCTGGAGCGGACGTGCGTGCCCCCTAACGCGCTTCGATCGCAGATCTTGTCCCTGGGCGCTGGCTCCGACTCGCTGTATTTTCGCCTCAAAACTGCTGGCCGCCTGGCCCGGGCTGCAGTCTGGGAGGTGGATTTCCCGGACGTGGCGCGGCGCAAGGCGGAGAGGATTAGCGAGACGCCGGAACTGTGCGCGTTGACCGGGCCTTTTGAGAAGGGGGAACCCGCATCAGCGCTGTGCTTTGAGAGCTCGGACTACCGCATCCTGGGCCTGGACCTGCGGCAGCTCGAGCGATTGGACGAGGCCCTGGCCGCCGCGGGCCTTGACGTGGTCTCACCCACCCTGCTCCTGGCCGAGGCTGTGTTGACCTACCTCGAGCCTGATAGTGCTGCGGCCCTCATCGCCTGGGCAGCCCAGCGTTTTCCTAATGCCATTTTCGTGATCTATGAGCAGATGAAGCCTCAAGACGCCTTTGGCCAGTTCATGCTGCAACATTTTCGGCAGTTAAATTCTCCCCTGCATGGCCTGGACCACTTTCCTGACGTGGAGGCCCAGCGGCGCCGCTTTCTTCAAGCTGGCTGGACTGCCTGCAGTGCCGTGGACATGAATGAGTTCTATCGCCGCTTTCTCCCCGCAGAAGAACGCCGGCGGATGGAAAATCTTGAACCCTTTGACGAGTTTGAGGAGTGGCATCTGAAGTGCGCCCATTATTTCATTCTGGCAGCTGCCAGGGGAGACACCCTCTCCCAACCTGTCATGTTTCCACCCTCGGAGGCCTTTCCTCGGATAGATCCTGTTTCCCCTTCAGGGGTCTTCCCTGCTAGTGTAGTTACTAGTGACAGCCCCGGCCCAAACCTTAAGAGATACGGCCACGCCTCTGTCCTCTTGAATCCCCACATTATTCTCAGTGCAGGAGGGTTTGGAGAGCAGGAGGGGCGGCACTGCCGAGTGAGCAAGCTTCACTTGCTGTCAAGATACTGTGACTTTGAATGGAAAGGCAGCCAAATATGCAGTCATGGGACTGAAGTTCAGTGGGATGGACGCCTTTATCACACCATGACAAGAATTTCAGATACTCAGGTTTTGGTTCTGGGAGGGAGGCTATCCCCAGTAAGTCCAGCCTTGGGGTTTCTCCAGCTTCATTTTTGTAAGAGTCAGGATAATAGCACTGAGGACCTGAAGGTGACATTAACAAAGGCTGGCCTAAAAGAAGATTTCACTTTGTCATGTTGGCGGCATTCAGCAACAGAAGTGTCCTATCAGAATCAGAAATATTTGTTTGTGTATGGGGGTCGAAGTGTGGAGGAGCCTGTACTAAGTGACTGGCATTTCCTAAATGTAGACACGATGGCTTGGGTCAGGATCCCAGTGGAGGGGGAAGCACCTGAAGCTCGGCATTCCCACAGTGCCTGCAGTTGGCAAGGGGGAGCCCTCATTGCTGGAGGTCTCGGGGCTTCCGAGGAGCTGTTGAACTCTGTACTCTTTCTGAGACCAATCTCTTGTGGATTCCTCTGGGAATCAATAGACATCCAGCCTCCCATTACCCCAAGGTACTCTCACACAGCTCATGTGCTCAATGGAAAGCTTCTACTGGTTGGAGGGGTCTGGATTCATTCCTCCTCAGTTCCTGGAGTGACTGTTATCAATTTGACTACAGGCTTGAGCTCTGAGTATCAGATTGACACAACATATGTGCCACGGCCATTAATGTTACACAATCATACCAGCATCCTTCTTGCTGAAGAGCAACAGCTTCTGCTCCTTGGAGGTGGTGGGAACTGCTTTTCCTTTGGCACCTACTTCAACCCTCATCCAGTAACATTAGACCTTTCTTCCTTAAGTGCTGGGCAGTAAGGACTGGACTCTTGATATGTTCAGGACTCACTAAAGTAGACAATAAAGGTTTCCACAAATAGAACTTGCCTCTAGCTATAGATTTTGCCACTCCTTCCTCTCCACCTCTTTTTTTCCCCCTTAGCACTATTCAGGGTAGAAAGTGAAAAAAGTTAAAATACATACCAACAATCAGATAGTACAAAACTAAAACAGCTGAAGATAGTGACCATACAGTTGTAGAGTAGGAGACTTTGGATTCATGTATCCAGTTTATTGGTCTTCCTCTAATTTTCTAATCTAAGTTTACCCATTTATTGAGTTTAAATGGCCTTTAGCCTAAGTCGAGTAAAAAATTTCCCAATCCAGGGCCTTGTGATTTGAGATGGAACCTTGGAAAAAGTTTCACACAGATCCTTGGTTGAATATAGTTGAAGGAACATGGTATTGACCTAATTCTTCATGTCTGAAACCTGAAGTGAACACAGTTGCAATTTGATTAAAGCATTGTGGCTGTTTAGTGCAACAGAGAACTCTAGGATAGCTTTAACAACAGGAACATTTGTAGGTCTTTACAAACAAGGTTTTGATCAATTTTTTTTGCTTTTAGGTCTGTATTTGTTTAGATTTATAAGTGCCAATAAGCCAGCTGTTCAATGCCTCAATTTGTACATTTTGTACAATTCATTTTGTATAATGTTTAGATCTGTTCTCCACCCTTCACTGTGTTCTGTTTATCAAGAGGCTGATCTTTATGGACTACATCAATGAGCTCTCCTGTCTAGTTTTTGGTTGAGTCCTACCAGTAAGAAACACCAGAGGGGAATGGAGGCAAGAAGAGTGAGTCAGGGTTTTTTGTTTTTTTTTTTTTTTTGCAGTGGCATCATCATAGCTCACTGCAACCTCACACTCCTGACCTCAAGTGATCCTCCTGCCTTGGCCTCCCAGAGTGCTAGGATTATAGGTGTGAGCCACCACACCTGGCTACGTCAGGGTATTTATTCCCAGCTGTTCCTCAGTCAGTCTGCAGGTTGGCAGTGGCTATATTCTTCTATCAAAGGCTACAGCTCCTGTCATGTAGTTCTCTCCCATAAGATGGAGCTCTAATTCTGCATCACTCCAGGTTTCAGTAATTGTTCCTTTTCCTTACCTCTTCAGATCTAGGAGTTACAATGGCTCTTTGCTAGACTCGAGCTGTACTGTCCAATATCGTAGCCATTGGCAACATGTGGCTATTTAAACAAATTAAGAATAAATAAGAATTCAGTGGCTTAGTCACACCACATTTTAAGTGCTTAACAGCCATGTGTGGCTAATGGCTACTGTATTAGTGTAGATTTAGAACATTTTCATTGCAGAAAGACCTAATGGACACCACTGAGGTACTTTCCCACCTTGACTTTGTTTTCCTTAACCCTGCTAACCTTAGGTCCCCAACCCCCGGGCTGTGGCCTGTTAGGAAAACAGGGCCATGCATCACTGCCTGAGCTCTGCCTCCTCCTTCCACCCCCGATTGTCAGTGGAAAAATTGTCTTTCATGAAACCAGTCCCTAGTGCCAAAAAGGTTGGGGACCTTTTTATGCTAACCCCTTGTGGTTGGTATCTTCATTAAACTCCTCAATTACCCTTTAAGTGAACAATCTGTTTACTGGTGAGCCTTAGGAGGTCAATAAAATATCTTAGTTATTCATCCATAAAATTTGAAATTTAATTTGTCGTCTAAATTATGCATACCTTGTGAAATTCACATCTCAAAACGTGTGGCTTTGGTGGTACTAAGTGTATGTACCACTTTAGTATTTCTTGTTAGTCTTTAATCTTGGAAACCTTAGTAGTATCTTGAGATTCTACAGGTGCCTAAATGATCATTAACTATCATTGTTAACATCTTAATGCACCTAGTATGGCACAGAATCCTTTTCTCTATTTGTATTTACTTTGCATATTAATGGATACGAAAGGTGATTAAAATGAAAACTAAGTAGCAAACGCAAACCAAAGTGTATGAACAGGGCAATCTCGGCTTTGCTAGAGGAATATTCTTACATGAAGGCTCCCAGGAGAAAACAAGCTGAATAAACAGCTAAAATAAATAGCTTAACTTCAGTTTTCCTGAGCCCTTATAAGAGCCCTTTCTAGTGAAGTCATTGTTTATGATTATGGGTGAGTCCTGGGAAACAAAGGCAGGTATCTGATGAGGCTATCAGTGGGCCAAGTACTAGATCACTGGCAGGAATATAATTACGGTAAGAAAAGGCTGTTCTGTGTTTCCGGTTTCTGAGTTTACTACAGCGTACCTCCAGCTTTCAGGAGTAGATCAAAGCAGCATGCTATGATGAAATGAGTGTTCTCAGCTATATAGTAGATAGTATCAGAATTCTAACCTAGATCTGACTCCAAAGCCCAGCTTATACCTTCCATTATGCTACTGCTTAGATCATGCCATCAATCATTATTATTTCACTACTTTTTTTGGGGGGGGGAAAAAAGGAGGAAAGGGAAGTTGTTAGGAGAATGTGGATGTGTGCCAGACCTAAATTAGTAGTGCAGTAGTGCTTATTCTCTTGAGCACTGCCCAGTATGGTGCATTATGAGTAATTGAGCTTGTTCTCTCCAGAGAAATTACCCACATTTTCTATAAGTGATTACCAGATTAAGCATGCCCTCCACCTCTAACCCTATATATGCATCATGCTCAGTTAAGGAATTATTCATCTCCCAAACTCTACTCATTAGAGCACTTAGAAGTTTTGTCGGCAGTATTTACTCTGTGCCTTTGGAGCAGCACTCAGTATGTACTGGTGCTGGATCACAATTTCATTAACAGTACTTTGCAGCAGTTGGAGATGCAGCCAGATTGAGAACTAACGTCAGACAATAATTTTTGCTTCTCCAGTTCATCTTTGAATATTTTTGTTCTAAAATTCTGGTAAGGAGTTCTGGGGTAGTTATGAGAGTTAATAAACAGGTCTCTTCCTCTTTTAGTGATTGTACTTCTATCTAGAATAGATAAGGAAGGAAAAGAATTTCTTATTTTGAATCTCTACTCTGGGTCAGGGTCTCAAAAACAGTCTATAATACTAGAGAGGATATGAAAACAAGGTTAAGAACAACTGTTCTAGGATATGTTCTTCAAAAGCCAATGCTGTCACATCTTTGTGTGCTTTCTGAATTTTAAAACTGAATGTTCATTTTTCATCTTTCTGGAGCTTTAATCCTGCTTAGTGATCTTAGGGAGATGGCATGTGTCTGACATGCTCCAGGGCTCAGGCATTTCCTTAGTCTTCTTCAGTGATCTCAAACCTTGAAGTCTTGGTTTATTCCATATGGACTTTGTGATCCCAAACCCCACCTCAAGCAACCCATGCCTACTCTGGGACTCATCGCACATGGCATCTTCTGGAAGACAGCCCCAAATGTAACCAACCACTCTCTCCCTGTGCAAGAGAAGCCTATGCTCTTTGGAGACTGTGGTAAGAGAACTAGTTACTTAAGGTGGGTTCTTCATCATAGGGACCATCCAATAATGTCTAGTTTGACATTAATATTAAAGTAAGTCTTTTGACTTCAGTAATGAAGAAGGGGACATAAAATATAATAGCATTAAGCTGACAAGTTAGGTCATGAATCCTGACTAATCTCATTAGATTTGATGTGAGCGATCTGAGGGAGTAGGAACATGCAATTAAATGTACTTGTGAGCACATAACACAGGATCTTCCTAGGATGTTTTGATGCTTCACTGGGCATGACTTGGTGCGTAACTCTCAATGTAAGTTTAATAGAGGAAGAGGAAAGACCTTGCCCTAATTTTTATGTGAAAATTCATTTGTCACCTAATTGGTAGACCAAGGCTAGGAAATAAATTGTAGTAAGAATGATGTTAGGATATTACACAACATTCTACTTTTCTCATTCCCTAGCCTTTGTCCACATTTTTAGTTTTTTTCCATTAGAGCTCTAACTTCTGATTCATATTTAGATTTATTACTTCAGAAAAATTTAGCAAAGCTGATTTTTCTTGCTTATGGACATATCAGCAACTTAAGCAATATTTAAGAAAAATAAATTTTGCCATGCCTTTCCCTCTCCCCCAAAAAAACCTTTATTAAAAAAGTAGAATCTAGATCCCAATCCATGAAATTTACATTTGGACAATTGAGTCCAGTCAGCAATATTTTTATTTCTAGCACATAGTAAATGCTCAAAAATGTTTACCACATGATTGAATATATGGTTGATTTAAGCTAAAATTAGTAATAAATTATAGTGAATTATAATGTTGGGACCAGAGATTACCACCAGAAAACCAAAATATAGTGTAAAGTCATAGTAATTAAAAATAGTTTGGTATTGGTGTCAGAATAGACAAATGTATCAAAAGAACAAAGAATTAAAAAACAGACTGTGTGATAAGGTGATATTTCAAATCAATGAGGAAAGGCTGGACTGTTATGGTTTGGGATGATGCGCATTTGTGAAAAATGATGTTATCTCCCTACTTCTTACAAATCACAAGCATAAATTCCAGATGGATTAAAGACCAGACCCAAATTAAAAAACAACAAAAATTATAACCTAAATTATATGACCATGAGAACAAGCATAAAAGAAGATGTTTATAATCTTCATGGTAGGAAAGGCCTTGAAGAACACATAAATGCAAACAAAATCCATGGAGAAAAAGATCTGATAAATTTAACGGTATATGTATATAAAACCTTTGTTCAACAAGAATATACACTAAAATGTTAAAATATTAGTGGCCAGCTAATCTTTTAGATTATAATTGCTGTCTTCCTTGGAGGAATAGCTCACAAGGTGTCTCTCTCCTCCCCCATGGTCATCATGCCCAAGGCAGATTTTTATTTTCTTTTCTCAGTCAGCCTCTGGAATTAAGATGCATGGGACTCATCCCTCAGTTTCTTAGTATTAGCTTCTAAGATATTTTAAGAATGGAAAATTCGAGTAATAGAAAGTGGAGCTTTCTCTCTTTTTTATTTTTAATCTTTTATTTTTATCAACCAGGAAGAAGCACTAAGAAAGTGGAG